TATTGTAGCTAAACGATTAGATTTTTACAAATTGTAAGTTTTGGGTCCGTTGAAGGAATAGTAGAGCTACAATTTAAAAATATCTGTACAAGATACAGAGTGTCTCAAATAAGTAAAAAATTTATAGTTGTATTTTTTTAAATGGAACACCCTGTCTATTGTTCTGTTTTTAGATTCTACAATTGAAATAAAGGTTATTTTGATTAAGGTTATCACACTTAAACCTTACGGTTTTTTGAAATATTTTCAATTTTATGAAATTTTAGTAAAAATTTTAAAGCTTCATTTCTCCAAGGGTATCAAAGTTTTTAATATTAAATATTTACTGAAGTTTATGTATTGATCAGATACTGTGTTGCAATAATAAACAAAATACTGCCTTATACAGAGTGTCTAAAAATTTATATTAAATAATTACTGGCTTTAAACGACAATAACTTGTTTAATTTAAATGGAATAAATGGAACACCCAGTATACTTTACGAGAAGCAGATGCACAACTTAATTTTCTATCAAATTGTATTATATCATTTTTTATCTATCTCTTCAAGTTTTCTTATAATTTAGACCTCATTTATCACTATACCCATGGAATACTGACATTTTAGAGTATTTTTAAAAATGTAACAAATTTTCAAAGAATACAGATACTAATATTGTCGAAGAGTTCGCTTATTTCATTAAAAAATAAAAAAAAAACTGTTTAAATATTTTTTGTTAAAGAGGACCAATTAATATGATCCCGGTATTCAAACTTTAATTGACTGTTTACGTTGATTAATAATAATTGCTCCAAATACTAAAAACCTGAATTTTGTATGTGTATTAGACAGTGTGGTAAAAAGTAACACCATATAAATTTTATTTCATTTTTTGACGAATGCTTATTTATTATAACAACAGAGACGTCCATTTTCATAACTTATTGTTATACTGATTTCTGGGTCAAATCAACATTTATTTAGAATAATTTATTAATTAAAACAATTCAGTAATGTAATTAACTAATTTTTGGGCGGAAATAATGGTGGTATATTTAATTGGTATAGTCTTTTACAAAAATTTAAATAGTTTTCTTTTCGTAAACAAATAATGGGCTTGCAATATTACTATTTTTACCGTCTGTACATTTTGTACATATGTTGCTTTAAAAATATCTAAAATGTCAATATTCCATGGGTATAGTGATAAATGAGGTCTAAATTATAAGAAAATGCATTTTCAATGAAAACTTGAAGAAATAGGTAAGAAATGGTATAATACAATTTGGTTAAAAAAAACATTTTTTAATAATACAATTCGGTGGACAATTAAATTGTGCATGTGATTCACGTAAAATATACAGGGTATTTCCAAAGGTATTTCATTTAAATTAAACAAGTTATTGCCGTTTAAAGCTAGTAATTATTGAATATAAATTTTTGGACACTCTATATAAGGTAGTATAATTTTTATTATTGCAACACAATATCTGATCAATAGATAATCTTCAGTAAATATTTAGTATTAAAAACTTTGTTGACCTTGGAGAAATGAAGCCTTAATTTTTTTACTGCAATTTCGCAAAATTGAAAATACATACATATTTCAAAAACGGTAAGATTTAAGTTTGATAAACCTTGATCAAATTTACCTTTATTTCAATCGTAGAATCTAAAAATAGAATAGTATACAGGGTGTTCCTTTTAAAAAAATGCAACTATAATATTTTTTACTTATTTTCAAATTATAGCTCTAATAGTCCTTCAACGAACCCAAAACTTACAATTTGTAAAAATCTAATCGTTTAGCTACAATACTCCGTGTCGTATTTGGTGAACAACCCTGTATATAAGATGTCACAATTTAAAATCATAAAAAATATATTTTAATTTTTAATTTAAAAGCATTTATATTTGAAATATTTTTCTACCAGTTAAATTTAAAAAAGGTCTGAAATTTAAAGGAGAGTATGACATTGGAGCTAGATTTTTTGTTTATGAAAAATTTAAAGAGTGTTTAAATGACGTTAGAGTTTTCTTAAAATATTTCGGAAAATTTTACTTAATAGCTCAAAAACCTAATTTTAATTGTTCAAAAATATGTACTTACATTTCAGGTTTTACCCAAAATATAAGCGTCATTGCTAAAATTAATTATTTTTTTTTACGTTTAACAAAACAAACAGGCACGCTCTGCAGGCACGTAATTACGTGATAATAGGATTAACAATTTTTTAAAACATAATACCCTAATAGGTAATAGGTAAGCAGAAAATCTATATGCACATAATCATATCAAGTTTTGTAAATTAATTGAAAAATTATATATTCTTATTCTAATGGCGCCAAAGTATCCAAAATAGTAAAAATATAGTAAATATTTTAAATATTTCTGTTGTGTGTACACATATTTTATCGAAACATTTTAAACAACTGTATGCTGGTAGTGTGTTATTACACCATGTCGCAATAATTACAAAAACACGCTTGGGTTGTTCATAAGAATAAGTTTGTGAGAAAAACCATGACTAATAGGCTCAATTCATACACTAATTGACATAAATTAACTCTTAGGTCGGACTATAAATTTCATTTTAATAAAATTTAATCAGATAATAAATGGCATAGTATATCCCTTAATATACATAGGAAATATATTTTATTATTCCTATCGAATAAAATACAATAAAATCCAAAGTAAAATCTCAGTTTTATTCAAATTCTACGAAATATCGCGTTGGTCCACCAAAAAAAAAACGAAGAACTTACATGCATGTTCCCATGACGCCAACACCTAATCACGGCACAGAACACACGCAGAGTTTTTCATGAAAATCGGCCTTAAAACCATCCATAAAAGTACAAAACACTCCCTACATAGTTGCTTCAAGGCGCAATAACAATTAACAACAATTTAAATCCAAGAGCGCGTAAGCCAATGTTAACGAACAAGAACGGCGATACACGAGAACAAACGAACCTAGATTGACGAAGTTGCCAGACTGTCTGTGTTTTCGTTAGACGATTTCTTCAAAACCTTGGGTCAATACTAATTTTTATATAAACTTTTACATTTATAATTATCAGTTCAAATTTCCAAATGTTAATATATGTTATCTGTATATCTATTTAAAATGCTCTATTGGAAATAATTCTATTGATGGGGATACTAAAAGCATTTTTGTATTTTTATAAACCATTTTATAAGGCATAATACTTGTCATGAATCTAAAGTATTCCCATACATAGAATAGATTTTTATTTTAATTTCAATGCCTACAATCCTTTCTCTTTTCTTAAAATAAATGAAAAAACGCAATACCTGGCATCGCAGCCTATATGGAAAAGAATTCTGGAATTTATAGTGACCTATCACGATTTGCAATGATGCCATGAGTTTAATTAGTCCGTAAAACTACTGAGAATCAGTCCAATTCTTGGTGGGAAAGTGCGATAAAGGTATCGGTAACGAATATCATTCTATTATATTACTGTATAATAGGTTTTAGTTCAAAAAATATTAAGATTCATAAAATAAAATAAACCTATCTATAAAAATTAAAACATGCAAAATATTTTCAAAAAAAATTACCTACATCTACTAGCCCGTAAAGTTAGACAACACTGTGCGTTACACCCACTTCCCATTAAAATTGAAAAATTCATTAGAAATATACTGTTACTGTTTATGCACGTGAATCATTGGAATTAAATAGTTTACTCATAAAGTAACTAAAATAAAAGAGTGTTTGAAAGGTTGTCTAACTTGGCCATAATGTTGCATAGTTCAGTTAGGGCTCCAAAGCGTCGCCACCTGCTACCTGTCACGTGTCATTACAAGAATGACAAGTGACATGACAGCAAATTGTTTGTATTTTGCAATTGTTTACAATTTTGTTTTGAATTTTGGAATTTTGTTATTATTTTGTGTAGCATAAACTTTGTTTGTTTGTGTTGTGTTTGTGCGTACAGAAATTATGGACGAAGTTTTATTTCCCGAGGAACCAGAGACCTTATATTTCTCTATGATTTGAACTTTTATATTTTGTGCTGTGTTTTGCCGTCATCATGTAATATTTTGTTCAACCGATGATGTGATTTGAACACGATCCAGGAAAGGGTATCATGCAAAGCAAGTTCGATATGTAAAGACATTGCCCATCTCTGAACTCTGTGAACGTAAAACGAACTGACTATAAATTTGCGCCTTCATTTAATAGTGTTGAACATTTGCTACCTCAACTGAACTTCAACTGCTGACTGCTGAATTAATTTTTGATGATGTCTTATTTAAATCTTTATCTGTTATAATAGCATAGATTGCAAACCCTGCGATCTTATATGCTTTGTTAGTGGCGTTGTTAAATACGTTTTATAATACTATAGGTAAATCGAAGGGTAAACCGCTGGTGTATTTTGGTGGTGTACAAGATGTTGGCATTTTCGTGGCATTATTGGTATTAGTACTAAATTATTTGGCATTACTTTGGCATTAGTGTACAGAAATTCATCAGGAGTTTACCCCCGAAGTTAATTCAGCATATATGTTTTATATTATCAAATTTAATTTAGCATTTAACTGTAAGCATTTGAAAAGTGTACAATAGTTTATACTTTTCAAATATTCCGTTTTTAAAAAATAAACTTTCATTATATTTTTGCAGTTTTAATTTCGTAATATTTTTAAAATACATAAAATTTTATATTCACATTTAAACAGCCCGCCTTTTTTGTGGTAGGCAATGCAGATACCTATTTTACCGATAAGGTCTGTCATATTTCGATTAGTTCAGTTAGGGCTCAAGGGTGCGCTACAATCGATCCTCGTTAAACGTGTTGCCTACTTTTGACTATGGAAATGACAACTCTTTTATTTTATATTTCTCTATGAGTTTACTTACGCATAAAAACGTGATTAACACTGATTTAAGAATAAATACTATTTTTAAATATATTCTACCCCTTACCAGCCATTAAAAATTGTTAGTATTATTAGATACAATAAAAAGCAAACCTTACATCATTTTCTACATTTCGGTCTATCCTAACATCTGGTTCGCTTTGAGCAATATTTTTCTGAGGCCGATTATGTCCCGACCAGCTGGTCAAATCTTGTAAGCTGCCATAACAAAATTTGTCCTCGTATAATTCTACATTATTTAATTCCTCGCAGCTGTGATTGGCTTTAGGTACCCCATAAACCTTGGGACTCAACTTGTGGTAACTTTTTTGGCAGTTGTCCAAATTCTCGCAACTATTTCCAATTTTTGCCTGTTTCCTTGACTTTCGAGACTCAAACGGTATTCGAAATATATTGACAAGGTTACCAAAATCTCCACTTTTTGAGCTTTGCACAGAAACATTGTCTGCAGATCTTTTAAATTCATTACTCTCAAAGCAGTGAGAGTTTGTTACATCTTCAAAAACATCTACAGGGTATTCTGAGTAAACCTGGCCATTATCAACATCACCATATTTTCCAGCACATGATATTGTAGGTATTAAAGCTCTGCATGTCAGGCGATTATTCTCCTTAAAAACATTATTGTTTTGTTTCTGTAACAGTGCAGTAGGGTTTTCAAATTGATTCTTAATGTTGTCATAAGCTCTGATATTATTTAAATTATTTACTGATTTAAATTCTGCATTATTAGCTGCAGGTAAAGCAAGATTGTTTGGCCTACACTTGTTATTCAACTCAAATGCAATTGCACCATTATTTTGATGACTGTCTAATGCATTTAAAGACAGATCTGCTCCATCTATGCCTTGGGGACGATTGTTGTTATTCACAACAGGAATAGGTCTATGAGTTGGAAATTCCACAACTAAAATTCTATCACTAATATTGCCACAATCATCCCTATAACCTATCCCTGAATCAGAATTACTTGAGGCGCTGGGCTGTGGAGAATTCGCCATGACTGGAATATTTAAATCATTTCTGCATGAATCACCCTGCAACTTATACATGGTTTGAATTAAATTCACTATATATAAAGCATTCTGAGGAAATTCTAAACATGATCTTGATACAGGGTCAGCAGTACAGTGAATCTTAAAATTTTCAGCCTTGCCTTGATGTACCCTATGATCTGCAATTTTGGGATCTATTACAAATACATGACAACTATTTGATATATCTAAATCTGATGTATTATGATTTCTATTATCACAAACAGCACTGGTTACTAATCCAAAATATCTGCAATCTTTATCTGTAGTCGAACTAACATAAACAACTCTGTTAGTGGGATAAATAGCTATAATGTTATTTCCAGAATTTTTAAGAGTCAAACAAGTGGGTAAAACTGTCATTAATACTGCAGTTGGTGATCTCTTCTCTTGCCTTAGTTTTCTGATACAACTGCAAACAGTCTGAAATCGCGAATTAGGCAATAACTGTTTTGGCATCTCAATGGTACCTAGGTAACCAATAAGAACTTTAAATTCGACAGGTCCAGCCTCATCCTCTATAACAACTGCATTGGGAAGTGCTTCACATTTTTGAACCTGATTGTTCTTATCTTCATTGAAAACATTATTATTCAATCTTGGCTTTATAATATTATGTAACTTGTCTATGTTTTTGTCATTCGGTTCAATTGTGACACCTTTGTATATCCTACGATTTGGGCGTGGTTTATGCATATATTTCGGCTTTCTACTGCCCGCCACTCGACCACATTCTAGTTCTTCATCGCTGCTATCAGAGTAGTAGTTTTCAGCGATGGTCATCTTAATGGGATCAGGGCAATTGCCAATTAGGTTAACGACAGCATCATGAGCCATTTTCGACACAGAAATACCATTTACCGAAATTAGAAAGTCCCCAGCTCTTAGTCCTGATTGATCTGCTGGAGAATTGTTTACGATACACGACAATATGCACGGTTGCTGTCCCGATATGGTAAACCCAAACCCATTTGCACCCCTGACCACCTCAACAGTCCTCAAACCGTAATTAGGACGCTTCTTTCTTCGTCTGTTCGGATGCATCATCACGGATTTCATAACTCTAACACCATAAACAAAAAAAAAACGTTTTTAAAAATTACGCATATTCGATTAAAGCATTTTAAAAATGTTTACCAACTAAACACCCGTTTACGCGGAAGAAAACAGCTAAATTTTGACGTTCACCGTTTCTTCTTTTCGAGATAGAGGGCTGGAACATGTGTTTTGTGGCTGGAACTGAGCAATTGTTAATTTTTTTCACTGAAGATAGAAAATTATTCCCGTTTAGATTAGCCTTGGTTATGGAGTGTAGAGGTAGCCTTGGTCAAAGCCTTGGTGGCAATAACGAGACGACACCAATTTGAATATTTAAGAACATGATGTAGTCTGGGACCGCAGTTCGGATTCCGCGTAAACAAAATAGGCTCTAGGCTCCGTATCTGCTTCGTCCAGAACTTAGCAGCAAAAAGGAGGTTAACATATGACGTGACACGTTGACCTGTGGCATTAGAAGTGTCTATCGGGAGACTTTCATCATTGATACTACGCATGCGCAGGTAGCAGATGTTGCCATATTTCTATAAATACTATTTATATTTATTTTATATTTTTTCTAACCTTGTTTTTTCTAATCTCTTTTTCACTGAAGTTGTGTATAAAAGGACAAAGGACAGTTAAATATTTATAAATGTTTAGAAGGCTGCTTTGTATCTTTTCCTACTGATAAAGGTCTTTTAGCGCATCTTCAAAAGCAGCATGGAGTTATGATATCATTCTACTCGATTTTCTCCTATTTCAGGTAAATCAATGATCAGTCTTTCTTGGACATTTGCCGCGGAAGTGTGTGTTAATTTCTGTTGTGATAAGTGTGGTTGTGTTTACAGTTTGATTTTTCGGTTTTGATATTATGTTAAAATTAATTTTGAAGTATTGTATCACCTGGTTTTATGTAATAGTATTTACTTTTTTTAGTTCTATGATCTGATAATTAATATTTTTATTTATGACAGACATGAGGTCACGTGATAATGTAGTTAGTTAATTATTCAGTAGAGTAGTAAAAACATGGCGTTAAGTTGATGGCTTGTTGCCAATTTATTAATGTATTTTTCAAGTTAATCATTAAAGTTTAATAATAAAATCTTCGTGTTTTCATAATAATAACGACAGTAGCAACAGTATCTTTGGTACAGTAACAATACAAATTCTATGATTAATTTTATATTTTAAGATTTTTAGATTTATATTGACGAATATCAAAATTGCAATGATGTGAATTATGTGTAAAATAGAGGAAAGATACTTAATGGAGATTGTGAAGTAAGGTACCTATTATCATTGTGATCGGATCATAATATCATTCACAAACATAAATTCATAATCATTTATTGATATTCTTATTTGACGGTTTTAAATCTATGAATATTATATTATCTGAATTATCATGTCATTACATCCTTAGATTAACAATATGACATCCAAGCGGTTTAATTTTTTATTTATTTGCAGGCAACATATTCATTTTAATTTCTGAGTTATGTATTAAATTACTCTAAATTTTGGTAAAATCTAGTAAAGAGGTAACAATAAATAACTACTTACGCAATCCACTTTAATTTATACAGAGTCTTATAGCAGATATCAATACGACAAAGGTAATAATAGTTAAACATTCAACAGTTTATCTGGTGTGGTTATAATTCTTGTATCAATTTTTCTAAAACAGATCAAATTACTGTATTAGAAAAATGTAGGCATATTATTTTTTTATGAAAACTGGCGATAGAGTTAATAAGCTTTGTTTCATCTTTTACTCTTTAGGAGGTCTATGTTGTAGAATGCATTACAATATTTAATATTCTGTATTTTCATTGTTTTATTTTATGTAATTTCTTGTAAGTTGTCAAAATACCGCCAAGAAAATCTTGACAATATGGCGAAGTCTGTAAAGAAGTTTCTAATTTGAATGTATTAATTTACATTATGATATGATGCAAAAAATCAAAATGTTTTAACAAGATACTTTTTATTATATTTTTTGTTTTAATACTACAATATTATTATGCTTTGTGGTGTGGAAAACAAATGTTAAGATATATTAATATTTGCCATGATGTTTTATTACAAAATATGGTTTATAAATCACAGATATATTAATTAAATATAATAATATATATTTTGTAGACATTTTGGACAATTGGACATGACAAAGAATTAAGAAGCACGGCAATAGAGGTAGAAAAAAAATAAGGCTAGAGAAGCACCAGTCTAGTGTTGAGAATATCGGAAGCCCCAAAATTAGATGGATCCTATAATAATGGTTATTAAGGACAGAATTTGTGTGTTTATTTTTTTTTAAATCATGTATAATTTAAATTTTGAAATAGAATGTACTGTGTCCTAGGCTAGGTTTAGGGGAGTTTCATGTTATTAAATAAATTACTTTTTCTTTTCAAATGTAGTCTTCTATAGTGTTTTATTTATGTCTAATTCTATTGACAATGAAATTAGAGCTGTGTAAATCTATAATAAGATATGTTGCCATGAAATAAAAACACATCTCTCTCAAAAAAAGTTTTTTTAACAGGTTTAATATTTTTATTCTATCTTGTGCATTCCATTCCATGAGCATTTATTTCATAGTTGGCATGAAAAAGGTAACTGTTTGTTTATACCATGGTTTATATGTAAGTGAATTTCATCGGTCATCATTTCCAAGCCAACTCTGACTCCATTTTTTATCACACGTACTTAATTCACAAGAATTTGATGATTAAATACATATACCTTAATAAAGTAATTATAAATATATTTATTCAGATATCATTTTAGACCTACTAATATTAGCTTATAATTTCTTATTTATTATAAAATTATAGTATTTTCATTTTCATCTTTACATTCAAGTATCTATTTCTGTATTTTATTCTCATTCAAACCAATAGATTTATTATTTTAACAGATTTTATTGTTTTTTTTTTAAATTAATAGGTAGGTAATGGTAATAATAAAATTATATTTAAAATTTCTATTTTAATAATGACAAAGCAGAAAAAATAAAGTTTATAAAAAAAGTAAAACAAAAATAAAACTTTATAAAGAAAATTAGGTGATTACCAAAAATTAAAGGTAAAGGTGTGGATCCGGTGGCTGACCTTGAAGGCCATATTTGCTGCATTTGATCATCGATACTACGCAAGCGCACATCTTCGATGTTGCCAAATTGCAGTTTATTTTCGAATTATTTGCAGTTGAAAATTTTTTTTTTAATCAATAATAATACAAATTCTATATAATTAATTTTATAATTTCAGATTTATCTTGATATCCAAAATTAAGATAAGAAGGATAATAAAGATTGTGAATTGAAAGAGTTATGAATATATAAAATTGTAATAATAATAACATTTATTTATACATTTACATTAAAATTAAAAATTATCATGTACGGATTTCTTCTTAATGGTTTTAAACTTATTAGAATTATTTTATTTCTTTCAAGTTATTTAATTTTTAGTTATTTACAGGCAACAATAGTTTTGATTATATGTATTGATGTTTTGAAATACTACCATGACGAGTCTTATACATAACAATACACGTCAATGGGAGATAGAGGTAACATCTTACCTATAATGTTACTAATATAATATACTTTGATTATAATATTTTAATTTTTTTTTCATTATAATAATTTCTTAAAAATATCAAGTTAGTGGATTAAGAGCAATTTTAGACATATATTTTATCGAAGAGTGTGTTGATAAGACTAAAATAAGCTTTATGTTTTATCTTTTTCTCTTTAGAAGGGAGATGGTTTGTGTCGTAGAATACATTACAGTATTTAATATTGTGTACTTTGATATTCTTTTCTTAAGTTACTGCAATTTCTTGTTTCCTATAATGCCAAATCTTGACAATATGGTGAAGGTTGAGTTTTGATCTTATTAGTTTTACACCTGTGTTTATGCAAGACCAAATTAAGATTAGTTTGTAATTAGTTTGTGATTTATATTAAGATCTTTCTTATAATATTTGTCATATCTTAATCTTAATACTATATTATGCTTTGTCTGGAAAATAAATGTTAAAATATCTTAATTTTGCATATCCTATTCCATCCTTCCATTAGGAAAAATATGGTTTATAAATCATATTATGCTAAGAAAATCATATAAATTAGGTGTAAGAATAGAGAAATCTTAAGGTAGCAGAAAAATTAATGCATTATATGTATAAGCAGAATTAAACAAGTTAACTGTAAATGTTGCTCAAGCTGATTCTACAATTTTAATTACGGAGGCTAAAAAGGCCTTTTAAGGCCTCCATAGTTTTGATGGAATGTTAAAAAAAACCTATTGTGAACATGACATGGAGCTATAGCATTTAAAAAGAAAAAGAAAACTTGGACACATCCCTTTTAATATTTACCGAATTTTTAATAAAGCACTTTTTAAACGTATAGTTGAGTATAGCATAATAATGTAGAGCAATTAGATTAATTATAGGAATCTAGAATTTTATTTCTATTTAATTTTATTGACTATAAAAATACATAATAAGCGTTCACGTTTCATGTGTTGTGCGAAATATTAAAATAATAATATAAATAATATACCGCGTACTATGATTGAAAAAAATAGCGTCAGCGATAACTATGAAATGAAGATCGCTGATATTTTATATGGGAAATGTCCTCAATCGTCATTTCCCAGCCAACTGGACGCCGATTTTTCGATCATACTGTATATATTGACAAAAAAACACAGAAAAGCACATATTTGATTTCTACTGAAAATAATTCCAAAATAACTTGCAATCTGGCAACATCGAAGATGTGCGCATGCGTAGTGTCTGTGACTATATGCAGCAAAAACTCGTTTCAAGGTCAGCCACCGGATCCACACCACTACCAAATTAAATTATAATTATATTAAAAAGGGAGATTTTGTGGCGTATAAAAAGGATTTATTTATTATCTAATTTCAAAATAATACACATGCACAATTTGGCAATATCAACAGAAATTTGCTTACTGCGCATGCGTAGAACTCGGATGAAAGTCTCCCGATAGACACTTCTGTGGCGTTGTGGACGTTAAAACTTTAGTTAAAACTATGGAGGTTAAAACTTGTGGTTAAAACGGTGACAGTGAAATAGGAAAATTGGAAACAGTCATTAGTGTCAATCCTGTCATCTCCTGACGACAAGTATGGCCGCCTAGACAAGGACAGCAATGTTTCTGTCTAACTATTGTCTAACTTCACAGTTTAGAATTGACAGATTTCAGAGACAACTTCAGATTTGTTCTAGACAAATACGTTTTAATAAAAGTTCTAGAACAAATTTCGACGCCATTTTAATTCTCTCCGGTTAGTTCTGTTTTGTAAATTCAATTTGATATTTCGGCAGAAATTTATAAATATAAAGGTAATAAAGCATATAAAATATATTATTACATGAACAATCCTGGAGAAAAAGACGTTTCTGCAGTACTAGGTATGTCCCATGTATATTAAAAATAGGTAGTAAATAAACACTATTTCTGTATTTTTTAGATGCAAGAAAATTTTGTTATGTTTATGATCGGCGATTTTTGAAAATGGAAACAATTTACAGCAAGGTAAGATCATTTTAACTATAGCCAACATTAGTTATCTCCAGTATGTGCGATTTATTGTCAATAATGCAGTAAATCTGACTGATACAATCTGATTGTTATCCGACTTGTCTCTTTTTGCTTCTTTTTGATTTATAAACCAGGTCTCTTTGGGAATAATGGACGCTTTTTTTAAACAGTATATTTATATTATATATACCTATTTATACCTTCATATTTTTACATTGTTAATTTTAGTATAAAAAAATTTGTTTTTCTGTTTTCAGATTTTTGTATAAGGCTCCCGTTTTCATGTCTGCCCCCGTTTTCTATCCTTGATGGCTGTGAATACGCGTATTTATTTACAATTTACTGTAAGTCATGCTTATACCTTACTAATTTACGTTAAAATTGCATATAATTAAGTAATTGCTGTAGAAATCATTCAATTCATTATTTTTTATATTTATTTAGTCCCGTTGTCTCATATTTCAAATAAATATGTTTGAATAAAATTTTGTTTTGTTTTATTTATGATAAGAAAGAGTACAAAATACATTTAAACTGAAAGAGGGCCCGCCATTGAATAACTGGAAACGGAAATAAAAATGAAGCCATCATGTCAACCTGTCAATTGGAAAATTAGTTCTCCAGACGACAACGAAGGCTTTCGGTGGCGTATCGTGTTTCCACGATTTAACACAGAGTTGACACTTCTTTCTAGTTAATTATTTTATGGCTCGCACTTCTCCTTGTGTATGTGTTTTGTGGTTAAAACCAAGGAGTTAAAACATGGTTAAAACGTGGTTAAAACCACTAAAAATTATTTCTTAAAATCTGTGCTTAAAATCTTGGCGGTAAATTATTAACTCTCTTATTTATATTTTTTGTGATTATAAAGGGAGAAAGACAGGAGATGTATTGTGGTTGATCAATAGGTTTATCAAGTTGTAACTTTAGTTGTAAGGTATTTATTTAATTTCCATAAATAATACTTATTAAACACTGACATCAGATTACTAACAATAAAAATATGTATAAAAAAGTTTAATTTTAAGCTTGTGTATCATCTAGTTCTTCCAGATCACCAACTATAGTTATCGTTTCGTTATTCTTGATATTATAATTATCTTCAAGATCATCTGTAACTAAAATTCATTTATAATTAACAAAATTGCAAGACAAATAAAATTATATTCCAGTTTCCAATACATACACGTCTCGTTGAATTCGCCATAATTTGCATTGTGACTTTTTTGTTCAGGATATAATGGAAAATCGGTACTGAATAAAGGAGGCAGTTCCTGTAAATAGTGGGGGGTTAAAGAGGCTTGGCTTATCCGGTTCTGAGAATCCATTATTGAAACAGCATCACTTTTTCTTTTGATTCTGTAATAATCAAGTTGAAACTCGATAATAGCCTATAATAGTAACATTGATTTCTAAATTATGTAATTACCTTTTTTTGTTAATCTTTTCTGTCACTCGTCTAATAACCAATATAATTATTACAAAAAATACTATTACAAAACAAAATAGTATACTTTTATGCCTGAATATGCTTTCTATGTTAGGTACTGGATAAACAGATAATCCAAGCGTTTCTAAATATTTTGAAGCATAAGTACTCCACATTATTTGTAGATGTTTTTCATTCAGTTGATAATTTTCCCATAGAGAATTGTTTTGGTATTCTTCTAAAATATTCACAGGTATGCCAAAAGTAAGACTTGCGCAAGTATCATAGTTTTCCCATAAAACTGAGCATTTCACTAAAGTTTGGATATTGATGTTATTGGTTCTAAAATGGAGTATTTTATTTCCTTTTTATTCACTTTTTAGTAGTTTTTGGTTACGTTATAGAACCATTCAGTGGACAAACTTGCACAGAACAGTAATCCTGCCCCATATTAGCTAAAACATTTTTTAGTTGTACTATAACTGCCTTATTATACTCATTGGAAGCTTTTCCATAAATATACACTGTTATAGTTGATTTTTCTGTTTCAGCAGGTGTAGGTAAAAATTCTGTAGTTGTAGATATTTCAGTTGTAGTTGTTGTTAAAGCCTTTCCTTAAAGTAATTTATGTTAATTTTTATATGAAAAAGTACAATATCGAAAAAACGGCGTCAGTTTAGAGAACGCCGTTTTTTTCGATCACGCGGTATATTGTATATACCTTGTCTAGTAAATTCTATAGAAAAATTATTAGAAGAATTAGTTCCAACATATTGAGCGAGAAGTTTATTATAGTTGAAGAAATAACTCATGTTGCTTAAAATGTATGTAAACATCATTTCTTCTGTACCTTCCCCGTCTTCAGGAACTTAAAATATAAAATGTTAGCTACACATAGGTACAACAAACTAATAAATGTTTGAATTTGGTACTTACCATTTTCTATTGTTACCATGTTGTTATTCTCACCATCAAGGTTTAAGTACAAAATATGAACTGCAATTTGATATCCTTCATCTGCTTCTATAGTTATTTTTCCTTCTGATGATTGTTTCCAAGTATAACTGGGATCTTCATCCGTTAAAGTTATTGTTTGATCACTGAGAACTTGAGATTTTTTTTTATTTTAAGATATGTGTTTTCTGTATTGTTAATATATAATATAGTTTTACCTGGATTTAATAAGCATCCACAAAAAACTATCGCAAACAAGATCATTTTGTTAAGTAAAGAATAACAGAATTCTCATCATAGTAATTTTTTGTCACTTGTTTCAATCTTCAATTAACACAAATATTTCTTATCTTATCAATAGATATTATTATCATTGTTAAAATTTGACAGGGTTTTTTACTAGCTCAACTTATTAAATGATCGATGATTGTTAATTTCCAGATATTTTTCGATATAGGTACATAAAAAAAATGTTATCTCTGTATTTACAGATTGCCAAGAAAATCATTTAAGAGCTAAATGCAGTTTAGAGCTTTAATTGTAGATAATGCTGCAATGAAAGATTTTCTAAGTATGATATATAAGTATATTTTTAAGAACTTAAAAATTCTAAAGACTTAAATTTCAAGATGTAGTTCTAAGCCTATCAAAATTCTCGAAAACATGTGTCTTAAGACTGACCAGTACCAAGATATATTTCATAGTCTCTGAAGAAGAAAATGGGCCAAGACAGCCTCTAGTTTGGTGCGAATTACCAATAAACTATTATTTTAGAGAATACAACATTGTTGGAGTCAGCAGTTCTTATAATGAGATTTATTTAGAATTGTCAACAGGTACCTGTATGTAGTTAAAACTACAAGACATTATTAATATGTTTTCTTTATTTTTTTAGTTTTACTAGCCAGATCATGTACCGTAATAAAGCAAGATATAATTTCATTTAAAATTAAATTAACTCACAAAGAAACACCGTGTTTAACTCTAGAAATGGAAATGGTAAGAGTAAAATACGTAAGAGTTAAAAGTTATTGTGTTTAAAATTCCCGCTTGTTCTCATGGCAACGGAGCTGTATGTTTAGGTTTTAGGTTATGTCATTAATCATTTAATATTTTCTTAGGGTATACCTTTTCTTATAATATTTTTTTATTTTCTTCAATAAAACGGTTTATTTAGTTTTAATTTTGGGAAAATCTAATAAATTGTGTTAATAGGCAGCAGGTGATATAGCCACCCGGCAATGCGTTCACGATATTCCTGTAGAAGTAATATCAAGGAAATATTGGGAATCTTATGAAGAGCCTCATTTTACAGATTTCCATGTAAATCTGATTTATTAATATGCAACGTATTATGTATTAAGAAATTTATTTTAGGTGTCTATACAAATGCCTAACTTAAAATCAGTTAGGAATATAGTAGAAAGGATGAAAAGTATGAGTCACACTCTTACTGTAAGTGCAAATAAAGACGGTAAACTTAATTTATCCATTAATACAAGCACAGTTAAATTGGCAGCACATTTCCCCAATTTAAATGTCAATAGTTTTGTGGGTAAATAATTCTCTATATTTTCGAGAAAACTATTTTTCAACTTGCTTGTTATAGAAGGAAATGTGACAAATTGTAGCAATGAAGAAATCAAGTCTAATTCCGTATCTTCTACAATTGACATTAAAAAGTTTATAATGTTTCTTTCTGGCATGCAGTTAAACAATTGCCAAGCTGTCTGTAATATAGTTCAAGGAAAAATGGTAAAATTATACATGGAACAACCAGGAGCTTTGCTACTTCAAATATTCCTAACAGAAATGACAATTTAGTTTGTATATATTGTTTATTCCAATAAATACTCTTTTGTTTAAAAAAAGATTAATATACATACAACTATAATCACAATAGCAAAAAAAGGGAACCATGTCTTAACATATGCAGGAAAAGAAACATACTTCCCATGCCATGCCATTAACAGGGCTAATTTAACCATATTCCAACTGTTAGATCCACCATATTGCATGAAATTCAAAGCTGTTGCTACATGAGAGTGACAATTATCACAAAACAAATTATGTACATGAGTTTTATAGATCTCTGAAGCTTCTATTATACTTGAATCCCAACCTAAAACAATACATTTAGCTTGTAAAATGTATAAAGTACTTCAGGATCAGTGTCCTATGTAAAAATTCTTTAGAAAAACAGGATACCTTCAATACCTCCATTAGCGAAAGATGGTTGTAACTGCCAATACTTTGTAGGTTTACCAAAAGCCATGTTATCCTCTGACACATAATATGGGGCTGCAAAATCTCTTATAACGCCTGAAGAAAGAGCAATTCCCATATGTCCAATAAAAGGAAATAGCCATGTTAAAAGTGGAATTGGAGTCCAAACAATACAAAATGGAAATCTGCTTCTTACAACATCGATGATTATACTTTGAGCCGACATTTTAGTACAATTTAATGATACTTCAAACTAATTAAAATACTAGAACCTAAAGTTACAGAGTTAGAAATACTTTTTTATACAATTCAACATCATAAACCCATAAAGTAATCCCCTATGAGTAATTCCAAATTTTTTGTTTATATGTTGATCCAATGGTTGATCTCTGGTTGATCTGTTAATAGATTTTGACATTTAATTTTTAACCACAGATCATCTAGGTAGAAGATAGAAAAATATGATGCTGTTGGTTGTGTATGATGGCCATAAAGAAGGTCTTAGTAAGGAACGAAGCCGGATGAGATCGGATATCTCGTAAGAGCAAAGCGTAAAGCCCACAGTAAAGCCTAGTTCCTGCACTTGCGATTTACCCTTGGATTTACTAATAAAATTGTGAAATGCGATTTACGAATTGCGTCGAGTATAATAGGTGTTTTCGTTCTGATTGGCCGCCTTTAAGAAAGACCTTGAAAGCGACCAATTGCAAGGCAAAGAACGCAATTCGTAAATCGCATTTCGCAAGTGCATGAACTGGGTTTAAGATTTAAGAGTCTGCCGATTTCGACATTGGCCAAGGCGGTAGGCCATTGACTATAATATGACCGAGAATTGCGGTTCGGATTCCGCGTAAACACAGTAGTAGGTCCCGTCCAGGAGCCCTAGCGGCAAAACGGAGACATTAACGAAGAGTAGATCTTGTGGTAAATCTCTTCTTTAGATACCGGTTCGAAACTCTGTATCATGCTGTTGTCCAAAAAAAGGCAAAAGTGTAAAATCTATTGACACACACTGCTCATTCACGCCGGTTTGAGGCCGGATGAGATCGGATATCTCGTGAGTAAAGAGTCGATTTAGACCAAGTCGGTAGACCATTGAACATGATATGGCCGAGGACCGCGGTTCGTATACCGCGTAAACAAAGTAGGCCCTGTCCAGATTAGCCCTGGCAGCAAAAAGGAGCGTTAACTTCAAATCTTTACTTTTCTCTTCTTTGATGTTAACTTAAAATTTACTTTATTGGGCTTGCAATAAGGACCAAGGACCACATATCCACACCTGTGATCCACACCATCCACACATCAGACCACGCATACCTACAAAAATGGTCTCCGATCGGGGGCTTCGCCGATATGTCGCCGATTTCCTATGCGCTATGCGTGTGTCGTCTCCTATACGCGAGCGTGCTCGTCTCTATGTTGTTGCTAGAGATCATTGCAGAGATCAGAACTCGGCGATGCCCGCATGTGTGGATGGTTATATCCTTGTTATATGTATAATTCCAAATATAGTTTCAAATATGGTCCTATATGAAAAATATTTTATGGTGGGTTCATACAGCCAAATAAAATAAAATAAGAATAAAATAAAATAAGAAAGTTGGTTATATGGGATACCGTACATGCGTTCATACAGCCAAATAAAATAACAAATAAAATAAGAAGAAATGGTGGGTTCAGTCAAATAAAATAAAATAAGAATAAAATAAAATAAGAAATAAGGAATTCTTATTTGTGTGCGTTCATACAGGATACATTAAAATACGCAACCAACCGTCATTGAACCGTCCAATCAGATCAAAGGAGTAATCGTCGTATATCGTGCGTTATCGATAATGTTCGGTGCCTGGAGAAAATTGACAATTGACAAGAGAATTGTTTATTATTTTTGACTTTTTAGTTCGTTTAATTTAATAATTACTAAAACCAGTAGTTCGAAAGATATATTTAAAAATAAAAGATAAAAATCCAAAAAATTAATTATCTATTAACGTGGATTTGGACGACAATAGGTAAGAACACTAAATTTATTTCTATATTCGATATAAACTTGTTTATTAGGTTTTTAGCATTTTTAGTTTGTGATATTTCATGTGATGATCATTTTCATGTTCATCGTCTTTGAATTGACATGAGGATATCTATGGAAAAGTAACTAATCTGAAAGTAAGCCAACATATCGTTTGTCCTTTGTGTGCTAAAGAAAAGATTTTCTTTTCGCATCATGAGGAAGTATTACATCAATTAAAAAATGTTAGGAAGTTGATTACTTGTCATGGAAAAGTATACCAATGGAAATTATTTGTTAAAGAAGTATAATTCTAAGGGTAAATTTTATTATAATTAGTAACCTGTCTATTTTTTATACGTAGATGTTTCAGGTTTTAAGAATAAATTGGTTGAACCCAAAATCTGGAGGAAGTACCTATATCCATACACAGAATATGCCCATTAAAAATACTAGTCCAAATTTGCTTTAATGGTAGACAATTATTCAATACAAATTAACTTTTTAAGTGACTGAAATATTAAATAGTTTAGAATATGGTATAACAATGTAAAAAAATATTATTTTCAGGAACGATTAGGGCCCGATATATTTGAAACTCATGTTGGACATAGTATTGAGTTGGGTAGAATATTATTCTACGTTAAGTGAGGGTATCAGATACCTATTATTGTACTGTATTTTAATATATACATTAGAATTGTTGGTTTTTTCATATTTGTTTTATTTATTATTTTACTTACAAGTTATATAAAGTTAACACTAAAATCTACTTTTTGACTTATATAAGTTAGTCTGTGGTTTAATGCGTGATTACATCCACATGATTTCAAGTTTTTAAAATATAAATATTATAACTGGCTTTAAAAACTCCATTAAACTGTTAAAAGTGTAATTTATTTCAAAATAAATATACATATATAGGTATATATTAATATCGAAAAACATTTTTATTTCCTTAACACCAATTTAATCATCACATACATATGTATAAACATTTATTTACGTTATTTCAAATGAAGACCACAGGAAAAACCAGCTTTGTTCATTTTAACTGGAGCCGAGAAAATGCAATTACGAGTGAACTACTCTGGTTTTTCTCCTGTAGGGCAAAATAACTAAGCTGTAATATCTCTGGGACTAAGCATATTATTATTGCTTTCTTTGATGGTGCCTCGAATAATGCTAACACTTGCCTATAAAATTGTCTCGCTATCAATTTCTATGAAAATGTAACATATTATCTGGTTTTTTCCGTGTAGTCTTCAAATGATCTAAAAATTCAGCAGGAATGATCCATTATGCAGCAAACACACTGATGTTGAATCATTGGAAGCTTTTTTGTGGGCATTTCACAAATAAAATAAAATGTCTGATCAAAAACTGAAAATGCAAATCAGATAGTAAGCTTTATAAATACATACATATATATAAATAATCATACCTACATCTATTTATGTCGTACAATCCAACCGATATTTTAATATCCTAGCCCAAGTAAATAATCAAAAATGCACTTTTTATATCAAAAGCAGTAATGTTATCAAGGGTTCCAATTAATATACAGGATTTAAAAAAAAACACGATCCTAATTCTTATTATTTTTCTAAATACGTATTGTCTGATAGGCAATTACAAAATATAAATCTGATGTAAATAGAAAAATAAAGTAAAAACTGTAAAAACAGGTAAAAACAACAACAAAAATTCTAACCAAAGATTTAACCGTCATACGACATGAGCATCACGTGATTGCACAATACCCAACGATAGGGTACGCATAGGGTACGTACCTCTTTCATCTGATTGGACGGTTGGTTGCGTATTTTAATGTATCCTAACACTATCGTTCATACCTCAAATTTTAAAATCATAGATCCTAACTTCCTCATTCATACAGTACAATGAAAATAAAATAAGAGATATATATTGCTCATGCCAAAGTTAACTTTTACGATTGTTTATAGTAATTTTACTATTTATAGTATATTTATTTATTCGTTGCCTACTATATTATACATTTTACTTATGTGAAATTATAAAATAAATTAAATCCAAACTGAAAATATTTGTAGGTTAGAATTAAGCGTGCGCAAAGCCGTTTTCACATAAAATAAAACAAGAAGTTAAAAGATAAAGACTTCTTATTTTATTTGTTATTTTATTTGGCTGTATGAACGCATGTACGGTATCCCATATAACCAACTTTCTTATTTTATTTTATTCTTATTTTATTTTATTTGGCTGTATGAACCCACCAAAAGACTTCTTATTTTATTTGTTATTTTATTTGGCTGTATGAACGCATGTACGGTATCCCATATAACCAACTTTCTTATTTTATTTTATTTTATTCTTATTTTATTTTATTTGGCTGTATGAACCCACCATTTATCTTTTAACTTCTTGTTTTATTTTATGTGAAAACTGAAAACGGCTTTGCGCACGCTTAATTCTAACCTACAAATATTTTCAGTTTGGATTTAATTTATTTTATAATTTCACATAAGTAAAATGTATAATATAGTAGGCAACGAATAAATAAATATACTATAAATAGTAAAATTACTATAAACAATCGTAAAAGTTAACTTTTATCCAGCCTCATCGTACTGCGCATGAGCAAATATATATTTCTTATTTTATTTTATTTGACTGTATGAACGCACACAAATAAGAATTCCTTATTTCTTATTTTATTTTATTCTTATTTTATTTTATTTGGCTGTATGAACCCACCATTTATCTTTTAACTTCTTGTTTTATTTTATGTGAAAACGGCTTTGCGCACGCTTAATTCTAACCTACAAATATTTTCAGTTTGGATTTAATTTATTTTATAATTTCACATAAGTAAAAGGTAGTACTTTATGTCACTTAAACACCAAAATAATTAGTTTTTTGCACTACAATAACAAATAATACTAAAAATCAACCGACAAAATATGAATACAGAATCTAACCCAATATCTAAGTATGTACAGCTGATGAAGTAAACAAAAGTCCGCCCGTAGGCTGATCTTTTAATAGAAGGCACTGTATGAACGCACACAAATAAGAATTCCTTATTTCTTATTTTATTTTATTCTTATTTTATTTTATTTGGCTGTATGAACCCACCATATTTGTGCCTAATAATTTAGGACTAAAAATAAAAAACAAGACTTGCTGAACTCAGGGTATGGGATTTCCCGGCTCGCTTTATAGCGATCCTCGTCTGTATGTCATCATCTATATGAACGCTCAACCGCTCAACCGTAGGTAGTTAATTCTACCAACCGGCCGGATAGCCCTGGCAGCTGTGGCCATTAAACCAATATACTACTTAACCTATGACTAATCTGTCATAAATAAATTTGGCAATCTCAATTTTTTTCATACATATCAATTTGAAATGCTTTTTAAAATATAATATTTTATCACATCCATACAAATACAAAATATCTATATAGATAAAACATGGCATCTTCTCAAGACGCTTGGTATCTTTCCCTGTTGGGATTAGCAGAGTATTTTAGAACTTCCAGTCCTCCTATGATAAAACATTGTATTCAATGTTTACAAGCTGTATTTAACTTTAAGCCGCCTCAAAGAGTAGAAGCTAGAACACATCTGCAGTTGGGAAATATTCTATTAACTCACACGAAAAATATCGACTTGGCGAAGAACCATTTGGAACAAGCAGTAATTACAGTAATGTAATAGTTTTTTGAATTTCATTCATTCTAAGTTTTTAGTGGATGCTCTCTCAGTCTATTTCATCATTTGATGATGTAAAATTTGAAGCCGCTAGTATATTAGCTGATTTACTTGAACAACAAAATCAAATAGCTGCCTCGAAACCTATTTTAAGGAAAGCAATTGAACTCTCACAACACAATGTTTATTGGCATTGTCGATTAATATTTCAACTAGCTGTTAGTAACATATATATTTGTTGTGACAATGATATTTAATGTAGATTATTTTAGCAAATACATGCCATAGAAAAGGATTATACTTTGGCCAGTAGTTTGTTAGGTGTGGGGGTTGATTATGCACATCTTTCAAATGCTTATTACACTAGGATTTTATTTGTGTTAAGCAAAGGCATGGTACATTTTCAAGTCATTTAATTTTAAGGGTTTTGCTATTCTTTTAATGTTTGTAGTTGCTATTAATAGATAAGAAGCATCAAGAGGTTCAGCCTGTACTAACTCAAGCTGGCCACTTAATTGAAACATGGACAGGAGCAGCATATCAACGAGAATATTTAAAAGTTTACTTTTTGGTTCTTCAAGTATGCCATTATCTTATGGCAGGACAAGTAAAAGGTGTGAAGCCATACTTGAAACAGTTACAACAAAGTATACAAGCTATAATGCAAACTGAAGATGGTAATTTGGATTTTGATATGAATAAAAAAGTATATTATGTATATTCTCATAGTGTTTACAGGTTTAAGTCAAGGAGACATGTTTTTATGGATGCCTAAAGAACATTTATACGTACTAGTGTATCTTTTAACTGTTATGCACAGTATGCAAGCTGGTTATATGGAAAAGGCACAAAAATACACAGATAAAGCTCTGATGCACATAGAGAAGCTTAAAAGTAGAAATTTTTACATTTTACTAATTTCAACACCTCTATCTTGTGTCATAGTTTTAGATAATAAACCCATTCTTTCAGTGTTCCAGTTAATGTTACTGGAACACATCATAATGTGTAGATTGGTAATGGGTAACAAAACACAAGCTCTTCAAGAAATATCATCTGCAGCTTCTTTATGCAGACAAAATTCTAAGCTGCTTGAAACTCATGGGGCACAGCTCCATACTTTACTTGGACTCTATTCGATGAGCATGGATTGTATGGAAGAGGCAAAAAATCAATTCTTAGCCGCTTTAAATGTAGTTGTGTGTAGGAAAATTTACATATTTCTCTAGTAAACGTTTCTTCTTTTAGACATCACATGAAAGAGAATTATGGACTTTTGCTAATCTGAATTTAGCTATTGTCTACCTCAGAGGAAAGCGTGAAATTGAATTCAATGCTCTATTTGACAGAATTAATCCTGAAAATCTGCCTTCTCAATCTCATAGTTTGAAAGCTGCAGCCTATTACGTACAAGGCTTACAGGCTTTCTTTCAAACCAGATACAATGAAGCAAAGTGGGCTTATAATATTTTCTTTACACAATTAATCTGGATTATTTTGCTTTGTTACAGGAGATATCTAAGGGAAACCCTTAAAATGGCTAATGCTGAAGATTTAAACAGGCTAACTTCTGGCTCTTTGGTGTTATTAGGACATATATTTCTTTCCCTGGGCAATAGCAGGGAGAGCATGAATATGGTAACTCCGGCTATGCAGCTGGCTAGCAAAATACCTGATGTGCATGTCCAAATTTGGGCCTCAGCTATTTTAAAAGGTATCAAAATATTTTTTATATAACATAAATTTTATTGCGTATTGTTGTAGATTTGCATAGAATATGTGGAGATTCGGCAAGGGAGAATGAAGCTTATCAAAGACATGTCACTTTTTCGCAAATGCTGATGCAGGATCATTTTCAAGCATCACAAATGCCTGAACATAGTTTAATCAGATGGACGCAAGGAAATCTTCCTGAATTACCTTCTAGTGTAGCCACAAACACTTCTAGTGGATTAGCAGCTGCCATGGGACTTATGAGATCATAAATAAATTGACATTAAGTGTAAAAATTGTAAAATAGTTTTTTTACTTGAAATAAAGGACATAATTTGATATAGTACAAGTAATATTTCAATTTAAACTGGAGTTATTTTTAGGTAGAAAAAAGGCCAATATTTTATATGTTGTCCAATTATCTCTACTATGATCAGCACTACAAATATAAATTATTAATATGATTATTAATTTCTATTGATTTAAAAAAAAATCTATTTGCCTGTTAACCACAGTCAAATCATTTTTAGGAATGTCAATTTTTAATGACCAATAATAATTCAATAAACTAGATTTGAAAATCCCATAGTCCCATACAATTGCGCTCTTTGTTTTTCTCATTTGAAAAAAAAGGATAAAAACTTATTCGATTTACTCTGTTGAATGAATAGAGTATAGAGCATTACAAGTACAAAAATAGTGTGATAGAGGGCAACATCGATGTCCGTCTTTCATTTCAGTCGCGAGGCATTCTGGGTAAAGGAAAAGTTGGTGGAAAGGAAAATCATTCTTTAGAATTTGTTCTGGGTCAAGACGAAAAATGTCTCTGCTTTCTGCTCGTATAGCTGCCTCTGTGGCCCGAAATCTACCCAAGAACGTGACTCAGGTATGAAAATGGATTTATATGCAATAATATATTAAATTTATAATATAATTCTACAATTACGACACGTACAAATTTATGGACTTTTGCCGATACTTGTGACATAACATCACTTGCCGATATCTTCTGGATATTTAATTATTTTGTTATATGCAATTTATTGTAACGTTTATCATATAATATAATTAAATATAACGGGGTTTATGAAAATTTTGCACTAAGAATTTTACATAAGTTGTTCAACATGGATGTGTTATATAATCAGGGTGTTATGTCAAAAAATTGATATGTATAATATAGTTTCTTGTATTTTATAATCATGTTGCAGATGATGACTCTCATTTTGTAGGTATATTGAAATATTTTAATCTTTTTTTAATTTAGGTCGCAGGGGCAGCTTTCCCAGCAGCCTCAGCCGCTGTCCGTAATTTCCACGCCACCCCGGCCAACAATGGAGTGGAAATCTCTTCAGTTCTTGAAGAGAGAATCTTGGGCGCCGCCCCTAAAGCAAACTTGGACGAAACCGGCCGTGTATTGAGCATTGGTGATGGTATTGCTCGTGTCTATGGATTGAACAACATCCAGGCCGATGAGATGGTGGAATTCTCATCAGGATTGAAGGTCAGTACTAAAGTGTTGTTTATTTATCGAATATTTTTAACTTGATTGTCTTACAGGGTATGGCCTTGAATTTGGAACCTGATAATGTTGGTGTTGTAGTGTTTGGTAATGACAAACTGATCAAAGAAGGTGATATTGTCAAGAGAACCGGTGCTATTGTTGACGTTCCCGTTGGTGATGCCTTGTTAGGACGAGTGGTAGATGCTTTGGGTGAGTTACAATAAATTTGTACAGAGAGAAAAGGTTATTAAGTAAAATTATTTTCAATAAAGGTAATGCTATTGATGGCAAAGGCCCAGTTAACACCGGCCAACGTTTCCGTGTTGGTATCAAGGCCCCTGGTATCATTCCTCGTATTTCTGTAAGAGAACCTATGCAAACAGGTATTAAAGCTGTGGATTCTCTTGTACCTATTGGTAGAGGACAGAGAGAATTGATCATTGGTGATCGTCAAACTGGGTAAGTTATTTCTAAACACACACACTAAAGAAAAATATATTATTTATATATTTTTTTAAAACAGTAAAACTGCTTTGGCTATTGACACCATCATCAACCAGAAAAGATTCAACGATGCTGATGATGAAAAGAAGAAGCTGTACTGTATCTATGTTGCTATCGGTCAGAAGAGATCTACAGTAGCTCAGATCTTAAAACGTTTGACTGATACTGGAGCCATTAACTACACAATCATTGTGTCTGCTACCGCCTCCGATGCCGCTCCTTTGCAATACTTGGCTCCTTATTCGGGCTGCGCCATGGGTGAATACTTCAGGGACAATGGCAAACACGCCTTGATCATCTATGATGACTTGTCCAAGCAGGCTGTTGCTTACCGTCAAGTATGCTTTTTCTTATTGCATCTCTAATAGTTTAATTATTTAATATTATTTAATTGTTTTCAGATGTCCCTGTTGCTTCGTCGTCCTCCAGGTCGTGAAGCCTACCCCGGTGATGTATTCTACCTTCACTCCCGTTTGTTGGAGCGTGCCGCCAAGATGTCCCAGGCCCACGGAGGTGGTTCTTTAACAGCTCTGCCTGTAATCGAAACCCAAGCTGGTGACGTATCCGCCTACATTCCCACCAATGTCATCTCCATCACTGACGGCCAAATCTTCTTGGAAACTGAGTTGTTCTACAAGGGTATCCGTCCTGCTATCAATGTGGGTCTCTCTGTATCCCGTGTAGGTTAGTAGTCTTAATATTACTTATTGTACTAGTATAGAATTCTATTTATTCTTTTGACAATTATTTTATTTTTTTTATGTTTTAAAGCTGTGTGTCATTTATTAGTTGGAGATTACAGTTCAGAATATACATTGTTTTTGCACTGTTGAACTATTTTAAAAGATCACTTTGGTTTTTATATGCACAGAAAGAATGGTGCACTTGATATAATTGATACTTTATTAAAAAAAAAAAAGTAAAGACTAGTGTTTCATATGTGCAAAATTTAATCACAATCACATCACAGTTTTAATAAATATTTATAATTGACATGAATAAATTGATAAATAGGTTCTGCTGCCCAGACCAAGGCCATGAAACAGGTAGCCGGTTCCATGAAGCTGGAATTGGCTCAGTACCGTGAAGTAGCTGCCTTTGCCCAGTTTGGTTCAGATTTGGACGCAGCCACTCAGCAACTGTTGAACAGAGGTGTTCGTCTTACCGAGCTGTTGAAACAAGGCCAGTATGTACCCATGGCAATTGAAGAGCAAGTAGCCATTATCTATTGTGGTGTCAGAGGACATTTGGACAAGATTGATCCCTCAAAGATCACCGTTTTTGAAAAACAATTCTCTGAACACATCAAGTGAGTATTTTTTTAAAATAGTTTCTTTTCTCAACCAAGCCATTTATTGAATAAATGTCATCTAAATATTTCTACTAAGGGTCATTTTTATAGGTTTATGCACAAGAGCATCTTAGAATGTTAATTCCGAATCTATTTTCTTGTATTCACAGAGTTGTGTTAACTGGACTTATCCATTAAGACCATTTATTAATTTTACTTATTCATGCCAGTACAAAGTTTACACAAGTCAGTAGATATAAAAAATGATAAACTAACAATAACAATTTTGTAAATACTTAAACACAACATTTTCAAAACATTTATATAAAATTATTATTTTATAAAATTATAACAGCACATAATATATTAAAAAATTGACATTCTATGTTATAAGCTCAGGTTAATAACTGAACGCCACAAACTCATAGGTATAAAAGGTATTCTGCATTTTTTGCAAAAGTATATTCTTGATTTTGAATTTCAACCTTGAAAGAGGAAGATCTCTAATATCCTCAGGAAGAGCATTATATATAATAAATATATTTGTCAAAGTACGGTTGCTAATGTGTTACTAAATATGTTTTCTTTTTGTTTAGATCTCGTCACCAGAACATTCTCCAGAGCATTTCGAAAGACGGCCAAATCACCGAAAGCACCGATGCCGAACTAAAGAAAATCGTTATAGAATTCATCGCTAACTTTGCTGGTTAAATAAATGATTTATTTCAATAAACCCTATGGTAATTATCAATCGACGATAGTTGAAGATTGTTGATTAATAATTTCCATACTTTCTTTATTATTATACATATTTAAGAGCTATAGAATTATAAGAAGGAACTTTTTAGAATATACTATCCGTGTAAACCATCATGTAACAGCATTTTCGTTAAGTATTTTATTTGTATCATAAAGAAGATGAGTAATAAATTCCTTTTTTGTTTTTTACTGATACTTTTATTGTTTACTTTGTTGATAGCTTTGGTTGATAGTAAATATCGCTGTGGAATTTTGGTGTATGCAGTGACTTGTGCAGGCATCATTTCATTTATATAATTTGAATTTCTCTCAATTTTTGACATGAAGAATGACTGGATGGACAACAGCCATAATCCAGCCCTAGAATTACCAGAGATATGAAGTTCATATTTCCATGAACTGTTTCCATTTTCCATTGCTTTCTATCTCATTAAATCTAAAACACTATTATTAATCTTCAAGACCGAGACAAGAACGCAAGTGAAGGTTTTAGAATTTCTTGAAAGTAATAAAATCGAGGATAAAATCCAAGTTCTAGTGAATAATACACATATTACACATGCAAAGATGTCATTTCTCCATACATTTCTCCAATCATTTCTCTAACGTTTTGATTTGAATTTCCCTCCTTTGCGATATTTGACATTGAGTTGTCAATTGTCGATTGTCGACATCCGCTTGAAGAAATTTATGAGTTTATTTCATTTCTTTCTCTCTTGTTAAGTTCAAAGCCTATGAATTATCAAAACAGAGATAGAGCACAGGAAGAGCAAGTAAAATTTTTTGAAAGGAAATAAGCAAGGTCTGTTCTCGTCTGTATTTTCGTATTTTGCCTTCGGCGTCTGCCTTCCAAAAAAATATATTTGGCGCCTTTATTCGCCAGAACTCTTTACCAGAACTGGTTATAACAAAGAAAAAAAGACCTCTAATTTTAACCACAATTTAACAATCGTTTTTTTGCTTTACTACTAGAAATTCTTTTTTTCTAGCAGATATTTAATATCGAACGTGTATAGGTTAATTTTTATTTAAAAAGGGGCCCTTTTCAGTTTGTACTTAACATAAAATATGGACGACGATTGGGATGATGGAGCCGTGGTGTCTGCACCTGCAATGGTAATAATTTTAATACATTTCTAACTGATCTAGCAAACATTTTTATCTTTGACTATTCTTAAGTTCGTTTTCCTTGTTATTTTTCTAATACATTTCATTTTCAGACCGGCATTATATCAGAAGGGGGTACGAAATTCTCTGCTGGACGTGGATATAAAGCTTCAAGTACAGGCAATAGCGAATGGGACTCGAACAATGCAACAAGTGGTTGGGACGATGCACCATCTTCCGGGTATCAGGGAAATAAAGGAGGCGGTCGTGGAGGAAGAGGAGACAGGGAGGACCGTGGTAGGGGGCACAGAGATGGTCGTGGTAGAGGAAATAGGGAAGATCGTGGGAACTTCAGGGGTAGATATCAGTTTATTGTAAAAATATAACAATTTTTAATTAATTTTGTTTAGGAGGTCGAAGAAATGATAACGACAACAATGGAGAATGGGAAACCCCCTCTGATTCATGGGGAGAAAATGGAAATGGAAATGGTTTTTCCAGCGGTGGTGATTTTGAAAGTGAAGGTCGAGGGGGCAGAGGTGAGTTATTTATCTAGGAAGAAATATTTCAAATAAATGCTTTATTTTTTAACTCTTCACTAAGTTATACTAAATGTGTTATTTAAAGACATTCACACATTACTATTGTCATTTTATAGCCCTTTTTAAGCTGTAAATTACACTATTGACATATTTATTATGGAGGGTCTTCATAATTTTTGACATATTTATTGTGCAAGGTCTCCATAATAAATATGTCAAAATGTGTTCTTTTTGTGACCCTTATCTCAAGTGGTTGTATGCTCTCCCAAAACATCTTAAGGGCTTTTTTATCTTCATTCCTTACAATATTTAACAGATAGGGTCACTTTAAAATGACTTGACAAAATATTATTTTTTTGGTTTAGTTTCTTTGACTTGGTATATACTATATATTTTCTTCTTTTGTTCTTGGCTTTTGGTCATTGGAGTTTTAAAGATGTTAATAGATTTCATTTATAATAGTATTTTTATTGACAACGTTTTGACAATCATATAATATGTGTCTTTTTCACATCTTGAACGTAGATTTCCATAGAATTGGACAATACCCAACAACAAACAAAAAAATTCACAATACCCACATATTAAAACTTTCTAATACCCATATATTATTTTATTTGTATAGACAAAAATTTGATGCGTCTTGACTATATTATTTTTCTTAGTCGTATTCTCATATCTAAAAAATTGTGACCTCATGGAATCATGTACATCCATTTACTCTCGTTTTCCAAGTTTGTCAGTCAATTGCTTCAGTTAATAGAGTTATTAGAGTTAATTTCCAAAAATTGCTCCTTATGGCTCAATTATTTCACCCTAGAGCCTCTACCAAATTACATACTTCTAGAACAGATTTTAACAAATTTTTGTGCAAACTTTCGTCCCAACTAATACCGTATGATTGAAAAAAACGGCGTCCAGGTGGCTTGTAAATGAAGATCAATGAAATTCTCCCATATAATTTTACATATAAAATGACAGCGATCTTCTGTTCATAGCCATCGCTGACGCCTTTTTTTTCGATCATTAGTGATATACATTGTTTTTTAATATAAATGTAAAATATTTTATTTTATTAGTTGTGTTTTTCATCACTTTTATGCTTATTATATTTTTATTTTTTTTGTTGCAAAAATTGGCTTGTCCTTAACATTTATTTTTATTTTTATCTTATCATAGTATGTATATTTTTTAGTTTTTTTTTATTTGAGGCGTCAAGTTGCAAAACCTGCCTTATCCATTTAAAAAAAAAATGCCTGATGACGTACAGGGTGGCGCACCTCATTCCTCTCGGTTGATTATACGAAAACGGAAGGATGTAAAAACAACCCCAAATATTTTATGGGTATATGTGGGGAGGTAATGTGCACATTTTAAAATTATTTTGAAATATACCGGGTGTTTCAAAAGTAAGATCCATACGCAAGTTATATTTTTTTTAATGGAACACCCGGTATTTTTGGATTCTTGGGCCCAAAAAAAATTATACATTAGGCATTTATTATAAGCGTTTGATATGTTTAAAGGCTTTGTTTTTTGAGATTAAAGATTTAAATTCTCTTTTAAACTATTATTTTATTTAATTTATCTACAATAAGGTTAATAAACAAACGGTTATTTTTATTTAATTTACCTACAATAAGGTTAATAAGTAAATATTTATTATTTTATTAAGAAAAATGAAGCAGTATCTGCTGGCGGAAGGAATTTCTCGTTGGCCTGAAAGGTTTATGCTCAAAGATATCTAAATAGGAATTTTCTTGACAAGAGTTCCTTTGAAATACTGCTTTTCCTATTTCGCAGACCTGATAGTGTATGTAAAAAACCTATTACGCAGAAACATGTTATTGGAAGTGAAGAAAATGAATTTGTCTTAATTGGTTCTTTTATAGAAAATCCAATATATCTACATAAATCAGATGGAACTACTTTATATTTCTTGATAAAATAATACATACTTACTTATTAAACTATTGTAGGTAAATTAAATAAAAGTAAACTGTTATACATCTAAATATAGTTTATAAACTAATGTCGATTTTGAAAATAGCTGCTAACTGTCACTAGCAAAATGCCATGGCAACACCAGCCATCTTGATTGTCATTTTATTGAAAAATCGCTTTTTATTCAAAAACTGAGCCAGGTAGGTATAGGAAACCTTAATATAATTTGAAAGAGCTTTTAAATCTGCTTGACTTATTTAAAAAAAATACATAGTGTTGTATTTGAAATAACGAAGTTTTTATGTAAAATAAATATTTAAAATAGACCAGTAATTTTTGATACCTCTGTATACATTTAAGGAAGCAATACATTTTTTTTAGTAAAGTTTATTTCTCTGGCTTCAAAGTCAATACAATAATTAACTCTGAAAAGTAATATACAGGGTGTTTACAATTTTTTTATTATTACATGCGTATTTAAATATCTTTAAATATCTCAAAAACCAAAGCATTTAAACATATTAAATCCTTATAATAAATGCCTTATTTTATGCCCAAGAATCCAAAAATGAAATAAAATACCGGGTGTTCCATAAGAAAAAATGTAACTTTGGTATGTATCTTAGTTCTGACACACCCTGTACATTCGAAAATAATTTTAATTATGCACATTGGTTGTCTACATATACCCATAAAAATGTTGTTTCTACATCTTTCCGTTTTCGTATAATTAACCGAGGTGAATGGGATGCGCCACCTTGTATATTAATAGTGACTCCTGAAATCTACATAAACAGTCCCAAACTGCAGCAAAATCACATATTCCTGAATCAAATTCACTACAAATTATGTTACTGCAGCAAAATCCGTCTTATCCACTTACATTTGCTTTTTATTGTCATTATTGTGGCAAATCCCCAATTTTTATAGGCTTTTTACACAAGTAAAATATTACTACTGACATTTTATCGATTTCAGATCCTCTACCTAATTTTAAGGAATTATTGAATTTATTTTAAGGAATTATTGATTTATCTAATTATAATAATTATAATCTCTAATAAATCAAGTTAGGATGCAAATAACTTGCTATACCAAAACGCGCAATATGCATTATACTGCAACAAACCCTGCTTTATCCGTGTTATTTTTGTGTTTTTTCCCTTTAAAAATTAAATATTAATTTTTATTTCTAGAAAAACGAGATACAAAACAATGATTCCACTCAATGGACACGTTTTTTTTTTAAATATCGCTTCAAACATTTGCTAAAACAGTTTTTGCATATTATCTCGAAACAAAGTTTTGTGGATAAGGCGTCAAGTTGCAATTGACGCCTCATTTAATCATGAGGCATGATTTTTTTATTTAATTTAATAACAATAAAACTGCTAAACGCGATCTACTGTTCTAACTATTGGTATTATCCTTGTATTATTGATAATATGGTATTGGTTACTCTGAAGCAGGGTTGGCATGATTTAAATCAAGTGATTTTTTTAATTTTAATCAGGTGATTTAAATCAAAACATCAACTTTTTTAAAACTTTACAATAAATCGAAAAATAATTGTAAAAGTTATAAAAATGTGTCCTAGAAAACTATAAAAAATATTTCTATAACATATATACCCTGTATCTATTCGTTAAATAAAATGTTACACTTGCTATTGTAACTTTTAAATACGTTTAATAAATCGAAAAAAACAATTGTAAATGTTATAAAACTATATAAAAAATGATTTGTATAACACATATACCTACTACATATCTATTCAATTAAAATGTTGGACCGATTTTTGAAGTAATTTCGTGTGTATCCATTAGACTTCTAATTTCTAAAGGGCAGAGATTTATTTTGAAATTTATGTACAAGTGACAAAAAATGTTGTGCGCATACATTTCATTCGCAACCTCTAGTGCAGAAAAGGGTTCTTTTGATGTTAGACTATATCTTCAAATCGTTGTCAGAAAATATGCTGTTTTATATTTCTTTATTTTACACTTTGATAATAGATAATACTAATTTCATTCTTGACTGAAGACTATTTCCGAACAATAGTGTATTGTGTAAGGAGTAAAAATTATACTTTTTTTGACGAGATTGTACGCTTAACGGACCAGCGTAAACAGGGAGGCACAAAGTAGAATATACTATATTTTTACAAATTAAACATTACAAATAATTTTTTAATCAATTTCAAACGTTGCAAATAATATAAAAAGTAATGCCTTAAAAAGTAATCGAGTAACAATTTTTACACTCGTTGAAATTGAGGCTTAATATCAGTTTAATAATATATTTTTGTACTTTTGTGCTTAGGCGTAACAGTGCTTTACTTTTATGCCTAGACGTTGAAATGACAAAAATTAATACTCTTGTGGCATTTCAAAAAAAATCCTTTTGATCTGATGCGAGCGACTTTTTTTACGGAATATATTGGTGACCGATGAAGGAAAATGACACGACCGACGTACAGTACATCTGCTGGATCTGTGTCTATGAAAGGAATGCGGACAAAAAACATTTAAATAAACAGCAATATATTTTATACGTCGACTTGGCGAGTACGTCACCGCAAATCGCTCCGCCCACTCATTTTATTGGCCACTTGCAAATTTGTCGAATTTTTATTGATGGGACGCGTCGTCTAATTTTTTACGAAAAACATCGAGAGAATATCGTTTCCCCTCTCACGGATACCGCGTAGCTACAGAACGAACAGACGCACTGTAGAATTGTTAATGTTGTCAGTATTGAGCAGAGTTATGAAGATTTAGCCATTTAGGATAGGACTTTAATTGAAATTAAGTCCTAATTATTTGGAAATCCGATTTAAATAATGTTTTCTATTAAAATCAAAAAAATCTGATTTTTTTGTTTTTTTTAAGAAAATCATGATTTTTTTCAACCCTGCTCTGAAGCCCTGTTCTCAAGCTCCGTTCTCAGAACTTCGACTGTCGCCAGCGACACGTCAAATGAACCAATGAGATTTGTACAACATTCAAACAGCTGTCAAGTTTGAATTTTGTGCAAGTCTCATTGGTTCTTTTGATGTGTCACTCGACAATACGAAGTTCTGAGAACGGGGCTTCAGAACTTCGCAAGTGAGAACGCAAGTGAACCAATGAGATATTGTAGGGAATTCAAACAGCTGTCAATTTTAAATTTAAACAACTCCCATTGGTCCTTTGAAGTGTCAACCACTGTCGCCAGCGACACAACGTCGTTCTGAGAACGGGGCTTGACATTAGTTGTAACTAGCAAATTTTGAAGCAACGATCTAGATAATCGCAAAATTTTATCTGGCAACCCTGTTTGTAGGTCGCGGTGGTAGAGGAGGTAGAGGTCGTGGTGGCAGAGGCGGTTTTCGAAACGAGGAAAGGAGCAACGATTGGGGCGGTGGCGACTCCAAGAACGGTGGCGGCGGTCGTTTTGGTGGAAAAGAAGATGGGGAAGACGACGGAGCCCCACCGAAACCCAGAGACATTTACGTACCTGAGGAGAGGGTCACCGACGATGATCTTTTCACCACCACAATTACGTCGGGCGTCAATTTCATGAAACTGGACGAAATAGAAGTAAAAGTTACAGGGGAGAACGTCCCGAACCCCCTAACTTCTTTCCAGAGTTCTGAATTGAGACCGCATTTGTTAAAGAACATTGAGAAATCAGGGTATACAAAGCCGACTCCTATACAGAAGTATGCCATTCCTATCATACTCGCTGGTAGGGATTTGATGGGTTGTGCTCAAACTGGCTCAGGAAAAACAGTAAATAAAATTGTTTATGTACAGGGTGTTTCAAAAAACATGTGCCATCTTTTGTGGGGAGATTCCTCATGTAAAAATAAGATTTATTTTTCATATCAACATAGGTGCGATTCTGCTTTGTTTCGTAGCTACAGGGTGTTAAAGTCTTAATATTTTTTCGATTTATTATAATTTTCTAAGTACTTTTAGCGTTTTGAATGATATTAGGGTAAAGTTACTATAAATGCGACATATTTTAAAACTATAAAAGTATCGACATATTCACCAGGGACGTGCATACCGTGCTGGCAACTAGTACTTTTGGGTCGGAACTTACATGTGTGGAAGTAAATCGCATAGGGATCGTATTAAGTCGGAGTGAGAGAAATGCGACGGTGTGCTGTTGCGGTGTTGCCGGTACGCCTTTCCCTATCAGGTAAAGTCAAAATCACGATCGTAAACCGCTTATTTTTAAAAAACTTTGTGTTCGAAAAGATAACTAGATAAAATCATTAGATATGTTTCTGAGCATCTGAAATGGAATTATAAGGATATCGTTAGGGTGTCCATTTTTTTATAACGATAAAACGTCAGTAATCGCGATAATTTAAAAACTTAACTTTTTATCACATAACACGCCATAACTTAAGAACCACTTTAGATATTGAAACTTTTTTTTATTTTGAAGATCGGATCTTTTATAATATGTTTAAATAAGAAAAATTCGATAAGGTTGTTTCCATTCAAATTTTTTTAACAATAACCCATCCTTTTACTTTTAGTACATAGCAATTTTCAGCAATCATGTAACTTTTTTATTTATAAATATTTTCACATACTGCCTGCGAAGAAAATATTGCAGAAATTTTAAGAAAGTTTTTGAAAAAACTACAATCAATTGTTTTTAAAAGATTTTGAGATATCGATTCATTTCGAATTCAGAGTTCTACCGCGACCACTGTCGAACACCAACTGAATTCCAACTATTTTTACCAAAAATGCAAGTGTTTCTAACTTGCACTTAAAAATTCTCAATCTCTGGGGAAAATTACAAATACTTGTTAATAAATAAACAAATAAAATATCGCGAGACGTAATTAAATCGTGAAGCTGAACACATGATGTATACCTTTCCCTAGAACTTTAAGTACTGACAGAGGTACTGATTGGGTCGACCGGTGGACTGCGACAAATCTGCTATATCCCCTTCCACGTCTCTTAGCAATGTGCGCAGTGTTTATTTCGTGCTTTTGGCAACATGTTTACTGTCCTCTCTTTGTTCAGTACATTATAAACGCATTGTACTCTTCTTACATACGAAAATCTCGACCCAAGACTAACCTTTGCCAGCCCTTAGTATGGGTTATCACTGGAATATTTTTCTAAAAAAAAGCATATACGCCACCAACTTTTTTTCTCGTATTAAATAGTGTTAGCACTTATTATCTGACAAACGAATCTAAAACAGCGGAAGGAATTCGGGCAAAAAAAGTCGATGTTGTCACGTTTAATTATAGAAAAGCAAAGTTGCTCGATATTACCTATAAATTGAATATATTTTAGTTCATTTCAGCATACATAATTATATATATGCTAATATGTTGACGTAGTTCTTATTGTAATAATGTATATTTATTTAATTAACTGATTTCGTTCATTCTGCCTATTATAAAAGGTAAAGTATTTCCTTAAGATAACGTCCGCTTAGGGTAAGCTGGCAACGCTGACAAAATTCATTATGGCCTCTCGGATTCAACCAGTCTGATTGGTCGAGATTCTCGCACGTCTTGTCGCCATTACCCCCAACTTTATGCCCCTCTCTAGGAATAGTAGAAACAGTCACTACTATTAAAAAATCCAGTGGCGGTGTTATTGTATTGTGTTTTATATCTTTAACTTGATTTGTGTTTATTGTAATTAGTACACGCGTTTTAACAAATATTACTATATTTAGCAAATGACTAAACAAAATGTAGGTACATTTAAAGTAAAATAATATTATAAACTTTACTGGAAAATATTATAAAAATTCCTGATATATTTTTATGAAACCCCGCACGCTCGTGGATATTTTATGAATGAAATCGGTCATAATTTTAGAAAATTGCGATCCCCTTGCCGTTGCCCCGTTGTTTCAGATCCGTTTGTCAGATTGTAATGCCTATTAAAAGTTGTCTCTTGATATTTTGTCTATTTCGACCTGCTTGATGAAATAAACACAATTTTATTAATTTGCCTTGATCCAAGTCTAATACCAACCTTTAAAAAATTTTAATATCATTTACTTGGGAAAGTTTTGAATAAGTACACATTGATTCCTCATCAAAAAATATCAAAAGAAGTTCGTAATGAACATATGGGTATGGAACTGCATAGTTTTAGAGTTACAAGATGGTAAAACTTTTTAAAATTAGGTTTTTTGTAATTGTCTTAAATATTTATTATCATTATTTTTTTATTTGAAATTGTTGTAGCTTCGACTAATAGTAATAATATTTAATAATCAGGTAAAATATATAATTTATTAATTTTATTTTAATTTTACTAATTGTGATTAATAAATTAATGGTTTAAGTATATTTTTTTTTAATTAATAATTTAAGAATTATCAAGAGAAAATGTGATTTTTTATATGGGGCACCCTGTATATTTTAAATTTATTGAAAATAATTTAAAATTACCTTTCCAAAAATATAACACACTTGATATTTTGCTCGATTCCTCTTCGAGATATAGAGCATATAAAAATTCGCCCGCTTTAAATAAGTAGTCTTTGAACGGCACCGGCTGTAATGCAAAAAAATTCTATCTGTTATATATATTAAAACGAAAAATAAAAAAAAATATATATATATATATATATATATATATATATATATATATATATATATATATATATATATATATATATATATATATATATATATATATATATATACATATATATATTAAAACGAAAAAAAAAAAAAAATATATATATATATATATATATATATATATATATATATATATATATATATATATATATATATATATATATATATTAAAACGAAAATAATATTTGCTATGAGAGATGCAGAATTTTATAACAATTTAAAAAATATTTAACCAACATCAACACATTTAAGCTATATCTAATAACAATAAAAATAAATTATACTTAAACAATTAAATTCTACGTAAAAAGGTGCTTTGGAAATGTTTTAATAGAAATACAAAATTTTCCATAACAAAAAAGTTATAGCAATCTCTTGTGCAAAAATGCACATTTTTAACAATCATAAACCCGTAACTCATAAACGGTAACAGATATCGATGTGCGGTTTTCACCATCATGTTTTTGATGAAAATTAAGCTCCAGACACCGATATTTTTCGTCTATCTCCTATAGAAAAGGGTGTTTCCATTTAAAAGCGTCGAATTTGACCCACCCTGTACGTCCCTGATGAATTTATCGACACTTTTTTAGCATTAAAATATGTAGCACTTATAGTAACTTTTACACTCAAAATTTCATTTGAATCAGTAAAACTAAAAGTACTTGGAAGAATAAGATTATTAAGACTGTAACACCCTGTAGCTACGAAACAAAACAGAATTGGACCTATGTTGATATGATAAATAAATCTTATTTTTACGTGAGGAATCTCCCCACGAGAGATGGCACATGTTTTTTGAAACACCCTGCATAAAAATCTTATGGTACTACTGATTTGTATTATTTTTTTAATAGGCGGCCTTTTTATTGCCGATGATCAATAAGATCCTCGCAAGCCAAGAAGCCCCAGAAACCGACGGCAATACTTGTAATCCTAAGGTGGTTGTTGTTAGCCCTACAAGAGAATTAGCCATTCAAATCAATGAACAAGCAAGGAAGTTCGCCCATAACTCTATTGTAAAATGCGCTGTAGCCTATGGAGGAACATCTGTATCACATCAGAGGAATGTTGTTAAAGTAAGATCATTTATTTCATAATTTCTGATATCTTAATTTTATATGGCTTTATGAACTATAATTCATTAGCAATAACTCGTATTTACCTTGATTTAGTAATCAATATTAACATTTTATTAACAATAATTAATATAAATCTTTATTTTTAACGGCACAATTATTAACATTAAATAATGTTTTCCCCGGCAATATCTAAAGAAAATTATTAAATCATATTATTATATCCAAATATATTTAAAAAAGTTTTCTTGCAATTTCTTCATATTTTCTCACAACCTTAAACCTTCCTTGTACCCTTGTCTTGTACTAAATATTTCAAGACCAAAATTAGCCAAATCGGTCCAACAAACGTCATTTCATTTTTATAAACTGGTCTGGTCATCGAAACTGTTTGGTCTGGATTTTTAACGTGTAGGACAGTGACGTCGACAGCTTAGTGGAAAATCAAATGTATTAAAAAGAGATAAAAGTTGGGTTGATACATTTCTTCTATGCGGTATTGCCGGATTTTGCATCAAAATTTCAACCCGCACAAGTAGCCGTTTATGAAAAATCTTGCATCTTGGGTTGGAACTTTATTTTTCACAATTAGTTACTGATTTTACTACAGCTGTAATAGATTATATTATTTAGTTTAGATATATTATCTTCATTTCAGTAGTATACATGAAAGTTTTTAAAATAGTTTTTTTTTACACACATTTTCCTACAAACTTAAAAACCGGCTAAACTGTATGCCGCTTTTTATTTTGTCTGTCTGTCAATCGGTCATTTATATTATTTTTTTCCCATGCATTAAAATACAGACCACTCAGATGAAGTGACTAGGGCTAGTATATTTAGATTGTGTAAAATTTGAAGGTCTAACAATATTGCCCAACCTTTTCAGGAAGGGTGTCATATCTTGGTAGCCACTCCAGGCAGATTAAACGATTTTGTGACACGTGGCCATGTGTCATTCTCTTCAGTCCAGTTCTTTGTCTTGGATGAAGCTGATAGGATGTTGGACATGGGCTTCTTACCTACGGTGGAAGAGATGTTGGGTCACGCCTCCATGACAGCCACTGTAAGTATTATTCTATTTTCGTGTTATTATTTATAGACTCAAAATTAGAGAATGTTTTATTTCTAAAGCCACTGTAACGTCGTTTCTTTTACGATGTTATAATATTTATGTTGTTATTTTTTAACTATAGATATTTTGCTAGAATCTAATGAAATATTTTGTTTCTTATCCATCTTTTTATAATATATGGATAGTTGGATCCTGTAAGTATATAGTAAATATATAGATTAGTAATTGTCTTAGTAATAATCTGTAAACTATAAATAATAAAAATTATAAATAAAAATTCAATTATAAATCCTTTGAGAATAGGAAGACATTTGAAAACTGACGATTTTATATAGTTTATATTTTAGAAATTTTGAGAATTGAAAGCAATTTTTTGATTTACAGACCGCATGCATGACAATCTCCTTTTTCTTAATTTCTTAAATCGCTTATATTTTTTACAGGATGAGTCTTAAATAAGTGCAAATATTTTTAGGGCTAGTATATTTCGCCCCCAGAAACACGATGATGAATTTTTTTCGGGAAATTTTTTTTTGAAAATTGGAATTTTTTGTCATAAAACATCATTTCTTGATAATATGGTAACATGGGTAGTAGATTAAATTTACGAGAAAGAAAATCCAGAAAAGATCTTGTGGTTCTCATAATGTTGGCAAAAAAAGTAAAATATCTCGGTTATTTTGGACTTTGAAAAACGGAGAAAATATGTTTCTTTTATCAAAATTTATCAGCCCTGAAAATATTTGCACTTATTTAAGACCCACCTTGTATAGTAGTATAAACATTATACTAAAAATTTATTCAAACATTCATAAGAAATTATACCTATTTTTGGTAGTAAAATTATTGTTTTTTTTATTTTTTTAAGGGTGAGAGACAAACCTTGATGTTTTCTGCCACTTTTCCTGAAGAAATCCAGCATTTAGCAGGAAAATTTTTGCACAACTATGTTTTTGTAGCAGTGGGAATAGTGGGTAGTGCCTCAACTGATGTGACACAAGAAGTTCATCTTGTCACTCGATTTGAGAAGAGGACTAAACTTATTGAAATGCTTAAAGGCAGTAAGTATACTTTACTAAAATTATAAAAATGTTATTCAATAATACTCATACTTTATATGTGCATGTTAATTTTTTATGTCCTTACATTATTTTAAAGATATTTTGTTTACTGTTATTTTCAGCCAAAGAGCGTACCGTCGTTTTCGTCGAAACCAAAAGAAATGCCGATTTCTTGGCTACGTTTTTGAGTGAAAATGACATTCAGTCGACCAGTATACATGGCGACCGACTTCAGAGGGAAAGAGAACAAGCCCTGTGGGATATAAAGAAAGGTAAACATTTTTTTTTCTGTTATCTACCTTTTATAGCCCGCTTGCCCTTTTAGTCAATATTTATCAATTTACTTGATCTAAAAGCCATTTACTTGGAAAAGAATGTACTCTGTTTAATACATGTCGAGGGGTGTCTCACTTGGGTAAAAAATGTACATGTACTGCCAAAATATCATCTTTCTACCAAGCGACTGCCAATCACAGCCAAGAAGACTGCCTATGACTGCCATGTAATTATTATAGGTGACTACCGTAAGACTGCCAATGACTGCCAGCGACTCCCAAGAAAATATACTGTAATTCCAGTATATAATGTAATTCCAGTAGTGAGACACCCCTCAATACATGTATTTTGTCCCAACATTGAATGATAAGTCTATCTCTGGTCTAGCTCACAATTACTGCCCTTGCTCTACGGTTGAGCTCTCAAGATTTGAATTTTTCAAATATGTATATTATATGATTATCAAAAGTCTCTAAAATAAAATACAAAATTGCCAATTAATTAACAGAACCAAAACATCACAAATATTAAACATACACATAATACACAATACCTTCAATGAAGGAGCATAAATCCTCTCGGCTTATATAGGAAGGCCACAGTATATTTCTTATGTATTAAGTATCTTTATTGTAGGACTTGCCTAATATACAAAAACATTTACAATGTATACACATATGTACATAATATTTTTTTACATTAAAAACGTATTGAGACACCAAATACTAGACTATTTACTAAATAGGTACATTAAATTAATTCTGCATATGCTGCCTTAAATATCTCCCTTGTTTATATATTCTTAAAATTGTTCAACCGACTAGACAAAATGTGCTGCCAGCTTGAGGACAAATCGTGAATCTTTCGGGGCGGAGTCAAAAATATCGATTATTTTCGTTAATTTCCTCAGAGTAATGTAATAATATAGCCCCAGGTTTCTGCGAACTTTAATAGTGATCAGCTGATTAAGAAATTTAAATGAAACTTTTATTTTATTGTAAATTGTGGATTATTTTTGCCTGTTATTTTAAGAATTCTAAACCGTATTAACAAAGAAATTATTATTTGGATATGTTGGTACATTTTATTTATAATTTATGTTATGCTAATTGCTGTTAATTAATACTTAAAAAAAGTTACATACCTATTTTAATTTGATTTAATGCAGGTTTATAAAAGAATTCTTAGATTATTTTATTCTAAATTGAGTGCTTTACGAATTTTACGATATATTTTTTTTTAAACATAAAACTTTTTATATTTTTGATTAAATGTTCAAAAAACTTGCTTCAATAATATTATTGACATTAAATAAATATATTGTACTTAATACACCATCTAAATCTTTATTACACCAATTAAATCTTTATTAATATAAAATATGGCCAGAGTTTTAAAATCAAGTTTGCTTTAACTTGGTATGTGTGAAGAATTATAGAAACTAAAAATATCATTATTTTAACTCACACACAAAGCCCGTTAAACCATAAAACTTTCTAAAAGCAGGATACATGTCTAACTGAAATAATTCAAGTACATTTTCATTAAAAAAATTTCATCAGGAAAATAATTTAATTATATTAAGATTTATTTTTTATTCTGTTACATAATATGGTCTTCAGTATTTTCAATACACAGGGTGTTTTCTATGACGTTCTCTATAGGTTTCTCGAAAACTACTGGAGATAGAGAGTAGGTTAAACGGGGAAAGAATTGCAGTTTTGTGAGGTCATAAATATATGCGACTTTCAGATTTTTGAAAAAGTTCATGGATTACTACATATTTCGAAAAAAAAAACAAAATTTGGCTATTTTAAAAATAGTCCCTAATTCCATTATAGTCTATTATTATTAACGGTTTTCAAGACATGTTAGAAAAGTTAAATTTAGATAGTCGCGCATCAACAGGGTCGTGGTTCCAACATGACTTTCATTATGACACCTTTATAAGTTATTATAAATCATAACAAAATAAGAATACCATGCCAACTAATTGGCATGGTATTATTGGTATGGAAATTAGCCAAGAAAGAAAAGGATTGGCTATAACTTGTAATTTTTCGAAAAAAAATATTATACCTATATCGCTGAAAAGCTTAAAAATGGCGATTTTTATGAAGTCATGGCCAACTATGGTTTTCATTAAAAAATATATTATGTTTGTGTCATATGTCAAAAATGACAGGCTTTAGAAAAAAACAGAAAACACAAACTCATTAGGTATGTGATTATCTACAACTTTTATCTGAAAACTTTTTGTCTAAAATAGATTATAATGGAATTATAGACAAGTTTTAAAATAGCCAAAATTTGTTTTTTTCGAAATATCTAGTAAGCCATGAACTTCTACGAAAAATTCCAAAGGTGCATATTTATGACCCCACAAAACTGCAATTCTTTCCCCATTTAACCGACTCTCTATCTCCAGTAGTTTCCGAGATACCCATAGAGAACATCGTAGGAAACTCACCCTGTATAGTATTTAGAAACTAACTATTATTATTATTTGACTAGTTTAATTTGATTAATAAGACTCGATCAATTTAATTTAAAATAAATTTGATCAGATTTTTTTTCGTATATTCTACTACCAGAAAATCAAAATTATATGATAACGCATTTTTCAACGAAGTTGAAGGAAGATATAATGTATCCAAGGGTGTATCTATCACAATTTACTACAATTAGAAGAAAAACAAAAAGAAAAAATACCCAAATACCTTCACCTACTACTCATTTACAAAATAAACGAATATAATCTCTTATAAAAACACTACACAACTACTTCTTGTATTCTGCACTGAACAAATTATTGTAAAATCGCTTATTTCTGGGACTTACTCAACCGGGTCTCACAATGCAAATTCACCTCAAATATCCATTTAGTTGGTCATTGGCAAGCAGGCTCTCATTGTACATGAAAATAACAAAACAAACATTTACTGATCTGGATAAAATTGATAGTTAAATAGTAAAACTCACCCGGGGGTACTCCGCCCCCTAGCCACTGGTATTCTATTCAACATATCCCATTCCATATCTTCCATCTAATTCAAATATTATTCGGATCTATTGGTTAATCTTCAACAACTAGCTGGTGTCACCTGAAATAAGTATAAGGGCTTTCCGCGGACGCAAATCTGCAGCTAAACAGATTCGCATCCCTAATAGTCAATAAGACTCGTATCCTAATAGTCAATAAGACTCGTATCCTAATAGTCAATAAGACTCGTATCCTAATAGTCAATAAGACTCGTATCCGAATAGTCAATAAGACTCGTATCCTAATAGTCAATAAGACTCGTATCCAAATAGTCAATAAGACTCGTATCCAAATAGTCAATAAGACTCGTATCCAAATAGTCAATAAGACTCGTATCCTAATAGTCAATAAGACTCGTATCCAAATAGTATATATTTCCTATAGTATAGTATATCCTAATCCTTTATACCTAACCTAACCTAACCTTAGTCATAAGACTCGCAACCTCCAAATGTCAAGCTCTGTGACAAAACACAACACAACACTACTTTACAGTCGGCCGTCCCGTCTACTACTGACCGACCTAGCAAGCTAAGCCTCCTCTTACATCACATTTTTACCTGATCACAAATATTTACATCGCTTGCCAATGAATCATACTATTTTCTCTAATCGACTTTCAAATTAATAGATGTTCTAGCATTGCTAGATAAATAAATAGAGAGTTTCCGAATTATAAAACCATTATTATAACCTCGCATCCTAATAGTCAAAAGACTCGCATCCTTAATAGTCTTAAATACTCGCATCCTAATAGTCAATATACTCGCATCCTTAATAAGCTTAAAGACTCGCATCCTAATAGTCAAAAGACTCGCATCCGTAATAGTTTTAAATACTCGCATCCTAATAACTTTAAAGACTCGCATCCTAATAGTCATAAAAACCTAACCTTACATAACCTAACCAAAGCAGCAACCTTAGTCCAAAGACTCGCACTCTTAATAGTTAAAATGACTCGCATCCTTAGAATTAGAATGAATTAGAATGAGTGGGAGGGGGGTTAATCACTTCGACCTTACAGATCCATTGTGTCCCCCTTTCTTGAATCATAACTCATCATACAGTCCCAGGGCTTTGACAAAAGCCAGTATCTGGGACGGTTTTATAGAGGGTAGTTCTCCATCTCCAATATCAGTCGTACCAAAATTCATGGCACGAATGCTTGTTTCTAGAGATCGCCTGACCACCTTATGTGGTATATTGTCAAACGCCCCCGCAATATCCAAGAAGGCACAAATTGCTGTTTCTTTGCTATCCAGACTTGTCTGTATTAGCTCCGTTAATTGGTACAGAGCAGTTTCTGTAGATCTGCCCGTTCTATATGCATGCTGACTATCATGCAGTGGTTTAACCTTTAGATGATTTTCTCCAATATGGTTGTCAACTACTTTCTCCAGCGTTTTTAGTATGAACGATGTGAGACAAATAGGCCTAAATGACTTGGGATTTGTCCAGTCAGTTTTGCCTATTTTGGGTATGAAGATTACTTTTGCTCTTCTCCATGTGGTTGGTATATATCCCATCGCTAGACTGCTTCTTGTAATGCTTAGTAGATGGTGAGTAGCTATTTGCTGACCCTCCTTTAGAAGGGCAGGAAAGATCCCATCCACTCCTGCTGCTTTATAGGGCTGAAAGGTGTCGATCGCCCATTTCAGTTTTTGTTCTGTTATTACTAGCTTGGCCACTTCCCAATCTTCCCTGCAAGGATTGTGGGGTTCAGTGGGAGCTACATGAGTATCAATAGGTATGCTACCTGGAAAGTGTGTATAAAGTAGGAGATTTGCTCTCTCTTCCTCTCCCTCCGTGTAGTTTCCGTCAGATTTCTTAAGTGCCATGTTGGGGATAGATCCACTCTTGGCCATAGCTTTGTGTAATCTAGCTGCATCAGGAGTAGAAGTGATGTTTTCGCAAAAGGATCTAAAGTCAGACTGCTTTGCCCTTCTTATCTCCTTCTTATACTCAGTTAATTTCTCGCTGTAGAGCTGCCATTCGCCACTGGATTTAGCTCTATTAAAAAGTCGTCGGACCTCCGATCTAAGTTTGGCCAACTTTTTGTTCCACCAGGGCTTGTTGTTACTTTTCTGTATGCCTTTACTTGCGGGGCAACTAGATTCATATGCATCCAATATTGCACCGCTGACTTCCCTTGCGTACCATTCTAGATGCAGATGGTTTCTGGCCCTACTTGCATCTATACGGTTTAGGTTGTCTACGAGATTGGAGTTATATATGTCCCAGTCTGTTTTTCTTGGATTCCTTCGAGTTTCTGTTTGGAGTGTGATTCCTCCTAATATGAACTCGATGATTCTGTGATCTGATAGGGAGGGTTCCGTTGAGACCCTCCAGTGTTTCACGTAACTGATTACACTAGCACTCCCGATTGTTAAATCTAATACTTCTGCCCGCGTTTTTGTCACGAACGTGGGGCTGTTCCCTACATTGAGAACTTCAAGATTGTATGCTAAGAGGAATTCAAGTAAACACTCACCTCTAGTGTTAGTGTTAGTGCTTCCCCATACCTCATTGTGTATTGGAGTCGCATCCCAATAGCAGAGGTAGTCGCCGTTGGATGCAGAATCGCACGAGCTCCAGTACCTCCGGAGGCGGTGCCTCCCCGTCACCCGGAAAGTAAGCAGAGGCAATCACGATGTTTTTACTGCAATCCTCGATATTAAGCTGAACCATGATAGGAACAAGATCTGGGGTTGTAAATTCTGAAACACATGTGTAGTTAATGTCCTTTCTTATAAGAATACAGGCTCAGGGAAATTCCTGCCTGTTATCATATATTACCTTTGAATTTTTTCCTGACAAACCTCTAATTTGTCCCTGATACACCCAGGGTTCCTGGGCTAGTACCATTGCATAATGATTTTTCTCAAAGAGTCTTGCTATTGTAGCGGAAGACCCTTTTGCATGGTGCAGGTTTATTTGGGAATCCCATGCATGGGGGGGAAGGAAGAAAGGATAAGTTTGGGGTGGGAAGAGGGGCTGGAGTAGGACTTTGGACCTGGTTTAGGTTACTGGGGTGTGTGAGAATTCTCCCGTTGTAGAGGGGATAGGGTATTCCTCATCTTCCTCTGACAACGGAAGTTCCTCCTCCGAGAAGTGGCCATCAACCTTCTCCGAGGATATACACCCTTCCACGGTTGGGGTTTGGCCCTCCGTGCCCTTCACAGTCGAGGAGCTAGTCTTCGGCTGAGGTTCCTGTGAGGTAGAGGCTGGAGGATATGTCTCCATTTTCTCTACCTGTTTGGCTTGGTCTCTTCTTAGACCTGATACCGGTGTTGTCCCGAATCTATAGTAAAGAGTGTATCCCTCTTTCTATTGCCTCCTTGGATTTGAGGTCAATTCCTATTGTGAGGACTTGGCCGTGGCCCTCCTCCCTCGAGTTGATGATTCGCCAACACGACGTCCTTACATCGGAGTTCTGACCCTGGATAAGGTTCAGCAGGTAGGTGGTGTCTTTCCCTTTGCTCCTTGGCAAATAGACCGTGATGGTCGCCTCCTTAGGGATGTTTTCTCCTTCAGAGCAACCAGTCCCGGCCCCTGCCAATTCTTAAGTTTAGGTGCCGTTTCTATCAACCAATCCGCCGATTCTGGAGATACACAGTCTATGAGGAGCATGCCCACCCGAAAGTGAATCCCCGCAAATCGCATTTGACCCACATTTTGTCCGTCGTTGTGTTGCTCTCCAATCGCCACTACTTCGTCCAGTATCGCCTCTTCTAGAGCCGTTTGCTGGTCGGTGGTCAGTACAACCTCTGGGTAATCCTTTGGTAGCACTGCCATTTTCACTTGTCCAGCAATAGAGGCAAAGCTGGTGATATGTCCCTGCTTGCCTCTCGGTGTTGGACGTCTTTCCATCCTGGCTTTTTTCTCTTCTTGCCGGAGCAGAGGTGAAAGGTTTTCGTTCCCTCTTTTGCCCTTTGGTGAAGATGCGCCGGCCTGTTTCTTGGTTCCTTTGCCCTCCCCTCTATGGAGGAGTACTTTCTCTTTTGCTTCCTCTGGAGCAAGTCCTGCGTGGAGCAGTCGGAGGTATCTCCGTGCTTCTGCTCCGCTAAGACCCACTCTCAGCGGATCGTCCAACCCGCCTGGTTGACCCAGGCCAGGTAGACTAAACGGTAGTCTGTGTCGCCTGTTGGGTTTAGAGGTAAGCTCCCGACCCTTGCTAAAGGAGGTGGTAGCTTGAGTATCACTAGCGCAGGACGGTCCCGCGCAAGTGTCAGCCACCTCTCCTGTAGTTTTCTTTGGGGGGTTTGACCCCCTGGAACTTTCATTGTTCCTGTTCCCAGTGTCGCTAGGGGGTTTCCCCACAGCTTCTCCGGTGGTGTTGGTGTTTTTATTTTTATTACTGCTCATAGTGTTCCCACGAGTCGCTAGGGAAAGTCAGTCCACTTCTACAGAGCCCCGCATGTAGAAGTAAGGGGTAAATACAATGGGGTGCCCCCTGATGCCCCAAGGTTGAGACCAGTAATGGCTAGTCCCCTATCTAGCCACGCATCCCTTTGACCTGGTCCCGCCATCGTAGGATTTAGGTTTTTGGTGAGGTTGTCTCCTCTTGGTCCAGGCGGTTAAGCCAAGACCCCCACACCCTCTACCCGCGAGACATGACCACAGACAGTAGAAGGTGCCTGGTTTAAATGTCTTGGTGCAATTCCCTGGCCACTACAGCCAGAGACAAGACAATGAGTGAGATGCTTCTTGGACCGAGCCAAAGTGCTAGAGGAGATTCTGCCAGCACCTGACAAGGAGCTTCCCCACCAACGACAAGGTCTTGCATCTCCTAGGGGAAGACTCGCATCCTTAGTCCAAAGACTCGCATCCTTTATAGTCAAGAAGACCTTAGTCATAAGACTCGCAACCTCCAAATGTCAGCTCTGTGACAAAACACAACACTACTTTACAGTCGGCCGTCCCGTCTACTACTGATCGACCTAGCAAGCTAAGCCTCCTCTTACATCACATTTTTACCTGATCACAAATATTTACATCGCTTGCCAATGAATCATACTATTTTCGCTAATCGACTTTCAAATTAATAGAGTGTTCTAGCATTGCTAGATAAATAAATAGAGAGTTTCCGAATTATAAAACCATTATTATAACCAACTTATTTTCCAAGTTTTACATTATCAAACTTATTAATTAATCAAACAAAAAGAAAAAATAACCAAATTATCCCTTCACGTACTACTTAACTAAAAAATAAACTATAAAAACACTACCAAACTATTTCTGGTATTCTACACTAAACATTATAATTAAACTTAATAAAATTAATCTAATTTTACACTACAACCACTACAACTACAAAGAAATAAGAACATTTTTTAAAACTAGAAGAAACAGAACTTCGATACGAGCGACCAGTATAACAATAGATCAAGCGGACAAAGAATACAAAATACTTTAAGCAGTAGTGTTTTACTAGTGCATTCAGAAAGAAAAAGTATCTCGAAAATTATCGAAACAAATATTTTTTTTCTTATCAGTGAAAACATCGGCCTTGTCGGCCTTGCGGAATTTGTCGGGTATTTACAATGGTCGAATTGTATCATTACCAGCTTTTATAGCATATCTAATAGACAAAAAGTATCTGGTCGATTAGTAACCAATTGGCACAGTCCGAAAATTATCGATTTTTATTTTCTCTGTTTTTATTGGTCGCTTCAAAATTCAGAGTAACAAAAAATATTTTTCTCTAGTAAAAGACCGTGAAATACGCCCCGCCATCTGGTGCTTTACATCCATAAACGTCTTAGGTTGAGCCAGGGTTGAGCTACTTTAAAAATTCATATACAAGGATATCTTTTAAACATATTTACTATTTACATTCAATATGTTTTTAAATAATTCAATAGGTAACCTATTAAATGCATCCAAACCTTTGTTAAATAAGCTGTTCATACTACTTGAAAATTATTTCTTGATCTAGTAGCATAATTGTGTACTGCATTATTATTACGAATCAGAAAAATTTCAAAATAAGTTGGTCCATTATTTTGTCCTGTAACCTTAAATATAAATATCATACTCAAGTAAAAAAAATCCTATCGCATACTGATTGCCATATATTAAGTATATGGGAAAGTGACACATAAACTACAGGAAAATAAAGTTAGATTAAGATTAAGTTTACAAATTGTTAAAATAATTTCAGGTATCAGACACATTTTGGTGGCCACTGGTGTTGCGGCTCGAGGTCTCGACATCGAAGGCATTCAGCATGTCATCAACTACGACCTGCCCAAGAGTATTGACGAGTACGTGCATAGAATAGGCAGGACCGGACGAGTTGGCAACAGTGGAAAAGCGACCAGCCTCTTCGACGAGAGTTGCGACAGGGCCTTGGCTGGACCTTTGGCCAACATTTTGCGGCAGGCAGGTCAAAATGTACCAGATTTCCTTAGCAACGCCGGAGGTGGGGGTGGCGGTGATAGCGACATCTTCGGAGGCAGAGATATTCGAGGGGTAAGTTTGGCGCAACGCTGTCGACCTGGTAATTTTTCCATAAATTTTAGGAAAAGTTACACAGCATTGCTAATTTGAATTTTTTTCAAAATCTGAGAAAATTATTTTTTGTTTTCAGGATGATTTTGGCAAAGGTCAAAACTTTGTCCAACAACCGGCCGAAATTGAAGAAGAGGATTGGTAATTTACCCATGAATTTTTGTTTACCTCGCAATCAATTCGGATCTATTTTTTTAAAAATATATTTTGCCAATGTTTTTTTTTTTAAATACTTTATGGAATCTTGCTTTTGTTAATACCTCTATATTTTTGAACTTTTCGTTTTTTTTTGCTGTGTTCTTGTTATGGAAAATCATTCCCCTTTCTAATGCATCTGTGATACTCTCTTTACTTATTGGTATTTGTGGAGAGAGTGAGAAATATTAATCACTGGAAAGTTAGAAGCTACTACGTTTTGATGAGATCTGTTTGTAACTTTTAGGATATAAATAGTATATAAAGATTACGTTTCCTGTTAAGTTGAAGTTTGTTTGTGTTCTATTTTTTTTTGAACATTTGACATGTTGAAGAGTTTTTTAAATAAAGGTAAAAATAAAATATTTTTTCTTTTTAATACCGTTTTATTAGTAGAAATACTTTAGTAGCCAAAATTATCATAATGTACTTGTAGTAGTAACTTAAGCAAATCAAGCAGTTACTTTTTGTTGTTCTTTCTTTGAAGCTTCCAATGCTGCTTCGCTCTTCTCAAACTGTGAGATCAACTCTTCCACTTCTTTAGCAGTAAGAATATGAATAACTGTTTTATTATTCACTCTAGTTAGTGTTGCCATTTCAACTATATACAAACATTTATTATAAATCTTTAATTTTGTCTTAAACAACTTTTATTACCTTTTTCTGATGTTAGCTTTGTCATATCTAAAGTTTTACTCAATACTTTCACAGCCAAACTTTTTGCATCATTCAGTGTCATTTCTCCCTCCTTATATTCTTGTTTTAAGCTTGAAATAGCAGCCTAAAATATTTTTCTAAATAAAAATACTTCATTGCATTGCAAACTACTTACAGAACTATTGTTCCCAATACATGTAGCTTTCCATCCACTATAGTTTCCGCTAGGGTCAGACTGATACAACTGGTAGCCATAGTGTTTATCCCAACCCATATAAAGAATAGATACACCAAATGGCCTCTTGCCACCATATTGTGTATAAGCTTGTTTAACATCACACAACCAAGAAACCAACTGTTCACATGGAATTGATTCTCCATATTGGAAAATGTATCTCTGACCAATCAATCTTAGTTCGTTAGTTAGAACATTGGCATCCGATGTTATACCAGCAACACTACATACCATGTCACTACATAAAATATTAAATATTAGATTCAATATTAAATAAACGAGGCAACTTACTCATTTAATTTGTAAATTTTTTCAGAAGTGAATACTTCATCTAAAAGCTTATTAGTATTTCTTCTTTCAGCGGCTAATAAAATGCCATCGTTGGCTAAAATTCCTAGGCAGGTTCCTGCTAAAGAAATGGCCTCCATGGCATATTCTACTTGATATAATCTCCCTAAAAAGACCAATCAATATTAATTGCAATTAAAAATTTTGGTTTATGTAAAAGAATTACTATACCTTCAGGAGAAAAGATAGTTGTTCTAGTATCGTATCTTCGGGCCTTAAATAAATAATATGTATAAACCTATGTAATATCATATTTTATTTAGAAACTTACCATTTTCAATAGATTATAATTTCGGCAGAAATTAAGATTACTAAACAACTTTTATTAAAAAATACAACTCACTGTCATAGAGGTTATTTATAATATTTTACATTTCACTTGACTGGTTTTACGGCCTAAGCTGCCAGAACTATACGGCCGGTATAATGAAATTTTTCTTCTTTTCAAAAAATAAAAATTTAACGTCTCTGTTATTGCTGTCGATTTCGCCAGTGTCTATCTTATATCTCTGACAGTAAAGGCACGTAGTCATATTACAGAAGAAGAATATTCAACCATATATAAATACATGAATTTAATCAAATCATATATAATTATGAAAATACGCCTGGTTGATCAAATTGAAAGTCCCTAGTAGAAATTAAATGTCAACGAGATATCAAATATGCGATTACTTTTGACAGCTGACAGTAACAACAATTGTCTATTTGCAAATGTCAACAGCGATAACGTAGTCGCCATTTAAGTTCTTATTTTGATGATATAAAAATATACATTTCTACCCTTTGATTATCATTAAAAGGTAAATTATTTGTTTATATTTTACTCTAATACTTGATTCTTTGTAAAAATAAGATAATTTATGTATATTTTACCGTAAATAACTGATGGACCAATTTTTATTGTTTTGACGTTTCTTGAGTTCAATTAAATTTATTTTTTAATTCGCCTCATAATTATCTTTAACAATTTAACGTCTTTTGCATCTTTTTTTATAGGAGCATTATGAGTACGGATCCTAGAAGATCTGATAAAATTCAAAGGTATGCTCCTAAGAACACTGCTAATGGTGAAGATCTAACTCCAGACTACATGAATATTATGGGTATGTGTTTTTATCTAATAAAAATTATGTTAAAGTAAAAAATTTGGGTTTTGTATATAGTTAATTATTTAATATGATTTTTGAGTATGTTTAAATTCAGGAATTTTATTTCGGATCATTTGGATGGACATAAAATGTGATTTTTTTTATTCATCTTAATATCTAATGTTGCTTTTTTTCTAAAAATTGGTAATATGAGTCACGGGAAATTAAAAATATTTTTTTTGTTTTATCTGAAAAATGAGACACATATTTCCTGGAATTTTTTGTCATATTGAGAGTGTGTGTGGGTACACATTAGGATAGACATTGTTAAGTTAATATTTGCATTCCGTAGGTCAGTCGCCGACCACGGCAAATGCAGCTGGCGAACCAGTAGAGAAACTACCAGATTCAGCTGTCATCGCAAATCTTCCGGCTCGTTCTGAAGGTGTTCAAGCAGTAAATAATGAACATACTGCCACAAGCAATGCCGCCAATGTGATACCCACCAGCCCTCAATATGGCGTAGCGATTATTCCGAATAATGCTACAGTCTCCTCCAGTGATACAAATACAGAAACAACGAACGTTTCTAAAGACACTGTTAGTGAAGCACCCTCCAAAACGTGTGAGGAGGTCAAAGAGGTTACCGCGACTCCAAGCAGGAACGATCGGTTTAAAGTGGTTAAAATTGCCAGTTTAGAACCGTTTAAACGCGGCAGGTGGAAGTGTATGGATTATGTAGATGAAGCCCCGCCCCCAAATATTGTAAACGTGAACGCGAACAAAGGGTCGGCGCAGTCGATGACCAACCCGCCGGTACCAAGCGGTGTCTTCATGCAAAGCCAGAGCTTACCACAGCAACAAATTCAACAAATGCTTATTCAAGGTGGCTACACTAATGGCACCCAGTTTTACTCCAATGTACCCACTCAAATGATACCTCAAGGTCAATATTTTTATCCTCAAGTCCCCAACATGCAAAATCAGTCAGTGCCTCAACAGGTAGCGACCAGCATGCCTACCCAGTTTATCAACAATCAGCCTTATTTTCCCCCTGGGGTTATGACCACAAACCCTGCCGGTTATACTATGCCACAAAGCTATCCTAATATACAGTACGTCCCAGTACCGACACAGAATAGTGCATTTGTTCCTACAAACCAACAACAAATTCATCTTCCAGCCAATTTTCAGAGTCAGTCTTACAGTAGTCAGCCTTCAGTATCAGTATCTCAGCCTAACGTCAATCAAAATATGGTCAATGGACATGCTTATCCTTCTCAGCAACAACACCATGAACCATCTCAACAGATGCCTCAGGGCGGAAACTTACCTAATCAGCCAATGAAGAATATGATAGTTAATACAGCTTCTATTAGTAATCAGCAGCAGTATCAGCAGCAACACCAACAGCAACTACAGCAGCAACACCAACAGCAACTTCAGCAGCAACACCAACAGCAGCTTCAGCAGCAACAACCACCACCACCTCAACAGAACCATGTAGTTCAAAATCATCAGCAGGTACCTCAAGCAAATACTGGAGTGGTACAGCCGCAACAATACCAACAAGTACATACTCAAAATGTAGGAGTGACTTATCAGCAACAGATACCAAATACCATTCCATCAGTTACGACGACTCAGGTTCCAGTGATACAAGGTAATCCGTCACAACCACAGCCAGTAAATCAGCAAGTTGACAACCACGTTAACACCAATCCTCAGTATGCGTCAAACGCCAACAGCGCGACTAAAGTAGTGGCACGGACAGAGAGCATACAAGAAGTGAAAGAGGCAGCTGGCCCTGCCGTAACTCCTGCTAATGTAGCTCCTCCAACCACCACAAGTACAGTTAGCTCAACGGAAATTGTTAATGATAATTCGGATGATCCTACTAAAAGTAATCCGGTAGTCAACGCCATCGATAACAAGATTGAACAGGCTATGGATTTAGTCAAGAGCCATCTCATGTACACAGTAAGTATTTTTTTTTATTTAAAACAACTACAATACATTACTTCTGAAAACAAAAAAAAAATCTCAGAATATTGACTTAATATTAATTTCCGATCACTTACAATCGATTTTTTACGATTTCGCCATTTATTTAAAAACTGACAAATAACCCGCTTGGCGCGTTCAGTGCGCCATCATGGCGCGTCCGGTGCGGACGCGGTGCTCCGCACCGCCTCAGCTATGGCTATGAAATAAAGATCCCTGTCATTTTATATGTAAAATTATATGGGAAATATCATCGATAGTCATTTTCAAGCCAACTGGACGCCGAATCTCGATCATACGGTACAATAAACAAGTGTTAGATACTTGGCGGTCGCAAATCGGTTTACTGTGCGCACGACGTCACCTGGGTACTAATTTTTGAATTGGCTGTGGCGGACTTTGAAGTAATAGTAGTTACGAATTTACCGCTCAAATGATTATTCAACATCACCTATGTATCAAAATTATGTACAACAAAATACATATATGTACATATTATATATGTATAAATGGGATGTTTGTGGGAATGCAATTGGGAATGTGTTTTCAAACAAATTTTCAGTTTTAATTGTACATATAAGTAGAGCGTAAAGGTGCGTATTCATTATCCGAACGAACGAACGAATGAAAGTGCGGTATATTTAGACGGGGACCGAACGCATGCGGCCGTTCGTTCGTTCGTTCGCTCGACCATCCGTTTCGAGTCGGTACATCAAAGGCGTTCGCCAACAAATGCCTTCGGTCTTCTCGTGCGGTTCTATCGTACGGTCTCCGTCCATACCACTAGCGAACATTCGTTCGTTCGTTCGTTCGTTCGGATAATGAATACGCACCTTAAATATTATGTTATTCTCGATTTAAACAAATATTCTTTATTAAATGTTTTTCTTGCACGAAGAATGTGATTGACGCTGACAAAAAAAAATAGTTTTTTCATACCTTATATGTAGGAAAAACGCGAGGAGAAAACTACCTATTTTAATTTCCAAGAAAATCGCTCTCTCAAGAAGTTGTTTAAAATGAAATTTTAAAAAAGAAATAAAGTAATAAAAAATATTACAGCTATGCGAAATAAAAGTTTTCAGTTCAACAGTCTGATTTATTCTACTCCTAAAAATTTTCACATTCCCTATATGGCTGGCACCACAGACTAATCTAGTTTGTGCTGGCACTAACAAAAAATCAGGCATCCGAATTTCATGTCATCATCTTACTGTAAACTTAAAAACACATTTTTATAAAGTTTTCCATCCCTCATTTGACCCCGAAATGAATGAAATAATGTCTTTTCTTAATTTATTATTTTATGTTTTTTTGACTCAGATGTAATGAATGTATAATTTTTCACTAACCACCCCGCTAACAGGATAATTAAAAAAAAAAAAAAATATATATATATATATATATATATATATATATATATATATATATACACCCCTATATATATATATATATATATATATATATATATATATATATATATATATATATATATATATATATATATATATATATATATATATATATATATATATATATATATATAATTATATATAATTATATATATTATAAATATAAGTTAATTTGTTTATTACTCGAGGCTCGAGGCAAGAGCTTTATGGTTGAAATATGGCAACCTCGGCCCGTTCGCCGCGAGACGACGCGGCGCGGCGGGACGAGTCGGCACAGCTTAGCTTAGTACTCATTTGGAATGTAGGCAGTGTTGCCATTCTGTTCCCCAATAAGTAACCGTCCAGTTAACAATCTGTATATACATATATTTTATATGTACTGTAAATGATTAAAAAAAAACTTTCTACAAATTTTCTGCTTAAAAAATATGTTTTATTTTTTATACTTCCAATATAGGTTCTATTCTGCTTTGTTTTGTAGCTACAGAAGGTTAAAGTCTTCATTTTCCAAACCAAACGCTTTTAGCAATTCGAAGGAAATTTTGAAAGTAAAAGTGCCACATAGTTTAATGCTAAAAAAGTGTCGACAAGTTCACCAAGGACATATCGTCCCATTGCCGCCAAAAGTCACTAACTTACTTTTTATCACTTCCGAGAAAAATGCGTCTAAAGATGAATTGCATTGCATAAAGATGTTATAGTTAGTAACTATTCGGTATTAAAATAAAACATAAATAGCCAGAAATCGTAGTTAATGACTTTTGCAATCGATTCTCCGCTTCAAAACATAGTTAGTGATTGAATTTGGTTGTTCGGAAAAATGTTAGTAAATGACTTTTGGCAGCAATAGGACGATATTATATGGGTTATCACTGGAATAATTTTCTAAAAAACATGGGCGCCATTGGCTTTTTTTTCTTTTTAACAAAACTGTAGACGTTTAATGCCGATAAAAATCTGTGTCTTGCTATTTTGTCGATTTCGGCCTCCTTGATGAGGTAAATGCAATTTTATTATAATAAAAATAAAATTAATAAATTGACTTTTTGAAATCTATGTATTTGTATATTAACACAGATGTTTAGTGCTGCTACCTTTGATTATAGAGGGTGCTACTTACAGCTAATTCAAAAAATAATGGTTGATAAGATAATTACAAAAGACCTCTTTTTTAAAAGTTGCACACTAGTGATGGGTATTACGATTCTTTTTAGTGACTCCTACGATTCGTTCATTTGAACGAACCACATGCACAATTTACGTTCCATAAAAACAAGAATCGTAAGTGGCACTATCTGTGATAATTTGGTAGGACAATTACTTAAGGGACCAGAAAAAGAAATATACACTTCTTTCATTTGTTTTTCAACACTTTATGACACTGGCGTAATTGGATTGATTGTTTTACGAATAATATTAAATTATCAATCCAATTTATATATACTGTTTTTTAAAGACTTTTTAATACCAGTTTAATATTTTTAGAGCCATATTTTAATTACGATTTAAAAATCATAATAAATATTATATAATACTGCATGATCGAAAATAGTCCAGTTGGCTTGGAAAAGAATATCGATGACATTCCCAATATAAGTTTACATATAAAATGACAGCGATCTTCATTTTATAACCATCGCTGACGCCGTTTTTTATCACATTGAGCAGAGGCCAACAATATTTATTTGGAGTTGAATAAAAACACGATTTCGTTTTTTAGTCCGACATTTACCTAATAGTCGGTAATATTATTTTAACAAAAATATTAACGTGAAAATTAAATACCTTACAGATACTCATCCCGTACTAAGCACAGTATAAATAAGTTTTTTTCTTGTAAATAACTTTCTTATCGTTTGCCTTTTATGCCCGTGATATTAGTTTATGGCTTTTGTTCAAGTCTAAATATTGGTGCCTGCATTTATGCCTATATCACCGCGCCGTAGAAACGAACGATCGCATTGTGATCCGATTCAATTCTCACGACTCATTTTTACGGCTCATCGTTCAAATCTTATGGATTCGTGCTGGCCACGATTCAATTAAACGAACCGTATTGTAAGCAGTGAATCAATTCTCACGACTCTTTGAACCCACGATCGCATTGTGATCCGATTCTTTTTTACGGCTCATCGTTCAAATCCTATGGATCCGTGCTGGCCACGATTCAATTGAACGAACCGTATTGTAAGCAGTGAATCAATTCTCACGACTCTTTGAACCCACGATCGCATTGTGATCCGATTCTTTTTTACGGCTTATCGTTCAAATCCTATGGATCCGTGCTGGCCACGATTCAATTGAACGAACCGGATTGCAAGCAACGAATCGAATCTCACGATTCATTTTTAGTACTCGTTCAAATGAACGACTCGTCCAATCTTTGCACACTGCTGCTTTGCGCAGAGCGACGCGGTCGACCTGGACGCAACAAAGGCGCGCGGGGCTGTTTGTTGGTGCGCGTTTGTGCGCTCTTAAAGAGATACACGTTAAAAGTAAAAGTACACGTTAAAAATGTTTTGTGCAGCTCAGCGCTACGCGGCGCGCCTGGTTTATGTCACTTCTCTGATTTGTTCTCGTAACTTTACTCGCATTCTAGAAATTTCTATTGGATATATTAACTTCTGTTAATATTTTTCCTTTTAAGTTGTCTATGAGAAAGTGTTTCTATGCTCTGTTTACATAAACCATTTCAATGGTTTGTCTAGTCGCTTCGGTATTCTTGAGTCGTGTACATTTTTAAGAAATATTGCTAGGACCCGCAACAACATAACTTTAAATAAATACCTTTTTTAGGTGCGAGAAGAAGTGGAGGTTTTGAAAGAGAAAATAGCCGAACTGATGGAAAAAATCCAACAATTAGAGACTGAAAACAATTATCTCCGTTCTCAGATACCAAAAGGGCCAACCGTTAACCTACAGACCGCGCCACAACAGCAACCGTCCAACGTGGCCGTGGTGAACCCCAGCCCTAACGTTATGCCACAGAATGCCCCCATAAACCCTACAATTGTTAATCCACAGGTTGTGGTTGTGCCTCAGCAGCAACACCAACCCCAACAGATTCAACGTCAACCCCAGCAGATTCAACCTCAACAGCATCAACATCATCCCCAGACTCAAATGGCGGTTAACGCCGTCGCTAGTCAGGTCATTCCGCCAAACAAGGACGCTACATCGGCCATACAATAATGGAGCAGCTACAGCCAGCCATCCGCTGGTTGTTCGACTTCTTAATATATAGAGCTTTTACTTTGTCGTGTATTTGATATTTTATTCGAGTTTTGACAAAATACGTGCGAGCAAAATATGCGTCAATACGTAAAGTGATTTTTGAAAGTTGTATGGATATTCAGTATATATTCAATTTTTTATCCGATTTTATATAAAATTCAATACTGTATCGATAATCGACATACAGAGTGTGCTGCATTTAGTTTTTCAGTAGTTTCATTGTAAACTATATCTATTATTTTAAACTTTGAAACTTTTCACGTTTGATAAAAGGCACTCCTTTTTAATTTTTTTTTAAAATTTTATTTTCTTTTTTTTTAATCTGCTATAGCCTTGAAAGTATTTAAAACAAAATTGCTATAGGATGTCTAGTTAAAATCGACATCCTGTTAACAAGAGAGTAATAATAATAAGTTTTTAAATAAACTCTTCTATATTTCCTCGAATTTCATCTGACATTGTCCCTGAATTTATTAATTACTGTCTCTGTTATTTATTAATATAAATAAAATTAATATATTGATGGAAAATAAAATATTTTTCAAATGTCCATACCACTTTAAGAAAACATGTATAATGTAATTTTTAAAAAACGACACCGACGTCATGAATTTTTACTACTATAGAAAACGAATTGTTTATTTTTCGTCAACATAAATTTATATTTTTTAGAGATGTTTTTTATGTTAGCCAACAGTATGAATATATTATTAACTACCTAAATTTGCAAACAGTTGGAAAAAATAACAGTGGCGTCCGTCTCGCCTTGGAAAAATTACATATATTTGCTATATATGCTATTTTAGGTTATGTGACGGTACGTTATATTGTTTAATAGGCAAGTTTTGTATTTATGAGAAATATAGTTTTTTTGAGAAGCAGAGTTTCTATATCTTAAAACTTGCACAGTATTAATTTATAATAATGTAGAACACTTAAAATAGAGTGCCAAAAAGGAAAACAAGTTCGTTTTTATTGGAGTGACACAAATAGATATTTGAAATTTATTCAAACAGAAAAATATGTCCTTTAAACATGTTGTGTATGCTTTATGTTTTGGTCACATCTTATGCTTTTTTCGCTAATAGACTACCTCTATACCCTATCTTACTACTAATATATTTTTATCTTCATACATAGGCAATAAACAGAAAAGAAATGCAATAAGCATTAACAATACTTATAAGAACTGCAATAAAAAATACATATTGTGGAATATGTTGAAGAAAAAAATGAAATAAGCAGATAGGATTATATAATTATATTTTTAAACAATTTCAGTATTTTTCCACCATCATTCAGATGTCATCTGATTTAGGCCCGTATTTATAGTCGCGTCTCGAACTGAGTCTCCGAAAAGACCGACAAAAATAACAGGCTTACTAGGCCCGTGTATACGGCCACGAAACGTGAGCCTGTTATTTTTGTGAGCCTTTTGTATCTCGAGACTGAAGTCGCGTTTTAAGACTCGTCTATAAATACGGGCCTTAATGGATTGCTCTTCAAAGTAGGCTTGGGAGTCACATTTCAATTTGAAGTTTGCTATGCCTATCTATGACAGCATATTAAGCTCTGCTCCTCAAAAAAATATTACTATACAAGTTTATATAAGGCTTTGTTTTAATTTTATAAATAATATTATATAGAATATATTTTTTTTAGATAAATAGCTAACCTCTTTAGAATATTAATAGTGTAGGCAATATGTTAGCTCTCTTTTTCTCAACGAAGAAATATAAAATCATGTTACTAGTAAAAAACATACGGTCGAAATCAAAAACGGCTTTTGTTTCGATTATGAGGGGTATACTGTATGAACAAAAATTCATTTAATAATCATGAGGGTTTTAACATGTTTTGACAGTATAGTGAACTCTCTTCTGTCAGTATCAAAGCCTACTTGATTATAAACTGTCATAATATGTCGGGTATCAGTATGTCTTTTCAATTACATTATCATAATATATTTATAAATATATTTTTTTCAATTGTACATTATTGTAAAGTATGTAAAATATTGAAATGATGTGTAGCCAAATTTTTATTTGGTGCTAAATGAAACTGTGATTTATAATACTTTTAAATTATCTTTACGTTGGTTCTATTAATTACGGAAAATGGCAATTGAATATCACTATTTTTATATTAACTCGTCTGTCCTACACGTTCCTTGGATTGGATCCTCTTTTTCATTCACTTAGACTTTTCAAACATTTTTCCGTAAGAAATAACTTGGACTGGATAGAAAAATAATCTTTTACGGAAGTTATTTTAATCTTAGAAGCTTATAATAATATTATATGTTTTTTTTATATAAATAATAAATAGAAAGAAAATTTGTTGACGTGCGCAAATTAACTAAAAATCGTTAAATTCAAAAAAATATTTAGGGAATCACCAGGCCTGTTAGAATTCAATCATATAAGCATGAGGAACAGTTGTATTTGTACAACTTAATAGGAGATATCTATATATATGTGTATTGTATAATCATAAAAATATATATCTATACTTAACTAACTGGTGGGTCTTGTTTATTTTTCATTCTCTGTGAGTGGCAGCTCGTGGTAATTTGCAAATATGTAGAAAATATAACACGCGGTAGATTTTCTAAAATTTTCTTTCACCCGACGAGTCGCCACTGCTCCTTTCCTAAGTGTTTTTTTTCTGATTTTTTCTGAATATGGTTCTTATCACATAATTTTTTCAAATATTCCTAATACGTACCGTACGAAAGTGTTTACAGTCTTTGTGTTTACCACGGAATATATTATTTGTATCCACTGTCAAAATTAAGTGAGAAGAACTATATCACCATTAGAAGAACACGGATTGCGAGACATTCTATTTTTGTTATTTGTAGGTATGGTCTTCAGCATGTGTGGTCTAATGATGCGTATGAAGTGGTGCGCATGGGTAGCATTATATTGTTCATGTATCAGTTTTGCGAGTTCCCAGCTGAGTGACGACACAAAGCAGGTATAATTTACCTAAATATAGTCTGTCCAAAACGAGAGGATACTTGACAGTCTGTTATTTTAATTCACGTGTAAATTGCAATTTCTATTATTTCTCAGATGTCGTCTGTTGAAATCTTCTCTGGACTCGTTCGACATACTTTATGTATAGTTTGTCCAGCAAATGAACGTATGACAGTTAAACTGTCAGAAAAACAGCTAACTGTCATTATAATTCACTAATATAGTATACATATATTCTATATAGAAAAATATATTATTTCGACGGATGACATCCGAAAAAAATTTTTCTGTTATATACAGGGTGGCGTATCACAAGGAGAGTGATAGTAATTAATTTTGTGACCGTATGTAGATTAATTTAAAGCAATTATTTAAATTATATAGAATTCTGCAGGGTAACTACCCTATACTGGGTGCGTCTCAAAAGTGGCTCACCCCTAAAAGTTTTTTTTATTTTTTCAGATAAAGAAAACGAGATTTGGTATCTTAATGTATGACATAAATTAGGCGTTGATTGACGTATTCAATTGTTTTTGGTCACTTCCTGTTTCACCGGAAATGACTACAACTTTTGATTTTTAAATGGCACCCTCGGTATATTTTTTTTTATATCACTTTGAATAGAATGGCATATCATGTATCAACTTTTGACATTTTCGCTTGCAAAAAATCGAATCGAAATTTCAGTCTAGAGTGCCATGGCTGTATTAAAAACACTAATTATTAATCAAGGAGCCTTGGAAAAATAATTTTGATCGTCTAGTGTTTTTTGTGTCTTGTCCTCGCTGGTTAAAAGATGCCCTATTATATCTCATTTTTTTCAAACGGAACAAGGGTGGCTCATTAGCATATTTGGAAAAAGCATTTTTTTACGAATAATTTGGTACCACACAATTGGTATTTCGAGTCAGATTGTCGTTATGAACCACATTTTACTATTTCAAATACACTATATGTACATGCGAAAATGTAATAATTCTATTCAGAGTATCATTTTCTAGGTATCGAATAAATTAAAAAAATGCCAAGTGTGTCATTTAAAAATCAAAAGTTGTAGCAGGAGACCAAGTGACCAAAAACAATTGAATACGTCAATCAATCCTAATTTATGTCATATACTAGCATACCAAATCTCCATTTTTTTTCTAAAAAAATAAAAAAGTTATAAGGGTGAGGCGCATTTGAGACGCACCTGGTATGTATTTCTATTCAGATTGTCACTTCGTCAGTCCTGTCGAGTCTCAATGTTTATAGTTACCAGAGTAGTTACTAAACTTTGATATTTTTTGTATTTTAGTTTGCCAATGTTACATTTCTCATAAACAAAACAAAGTTTTAATGCACACATTTAAGAAAAAACATTGAATGTATGCATTCTACTGTATATTTAAATAAGTTATAATTCTTATCCAAGCGTGTTTACCAATGCCTATATGGTTTTATTACCACTATTGTTTTAAAATATCGAATAATAAAGTTTTGAAAAGCTTTGAAAAATATATATGAATATAGCTTTGAAAAATATATATGAAAACATATCTGAGATCTTTTTCTGATGAATATATCGGTCATTAGACATTACTAAAATATTATTATTTTTTGCCGCTTGTTGCCGCTTTTCTCCTAATAAATAATTTTAATCCCTCAAATTCAACATAATCTTTTTAATAAGATTTAGTATTTTAGTGTAGTTTTGTACATACCAAATCTCGTTTTTTTTCTGAAAAAAAAAAAAGAAATTTATAGGGGTGAGCCACTTTTGAAACGCACCCGGTATATTAATTGATTATGAAAGTATCTAGAATTGAAATATCTAGGAAAATCTTTGTCGGAGTGGTAGGCAACCTTAATAATATTTTTAAGAGACTGAATTCTCCATTGAATATCGGAATAATATATTGATGGTATGTTCCATTTGAAATAAAAAAGTAACATGCTTTTAAAAGCGACCAATGATTTATTTTTTTAATCCAGCTTTTATTGAAATTTAAAATGTATATTATATTCATCATTTTTTGAAAATGTTAAATATTTCAAAAACCTTTTATTTTAGTCATATGCTTCTCTAATGAAACTTACCTTTATTTTATCTTAGAATGCAAAAATTAATTAATACACAGTGTGTTTCATTACAAAAAAACACAAATACTAATTCATTTTTAATTAGTCTCCGTTGGATTAACGCAGCAGTGTTTACAAAAAATTGAAAAAATAGTTTTTTTTTGTAAATTATCTTACAGTGACGAAATACCCAAGGAAATTTCACGTGTAACTATTTTTAGGATACTACACCCTGTAGAACTACATATTTTTTTAAAAATGCTCTAATTTAACATACATATGCTCACAGAATTTCATTTTCAAAACAAGCTGTCATTCTCCTTGGAGCCTCCGCGTGATCTGAGAGGCGCCATTCTGTACAAAGTACTTATCTCTGTACAAAGTAAATATAAGCAGATATCTAAGAATTTGTCTGTCCAACAAGATGATGCCTGGCAGTGATAGTTGTGTCTGTCATTTTAATTCCCAAGCAAATTAAATTTTCAAACCCAAAAAAAAGTGTTGAATATTAATCTCTTCACAAAATGGTTAACCTTTTTACAGTGATTTTTTTATATGTTTTAGGTCTTGAGTTCTTTCATGTTATCTATATCAGCCATTGTGATGTCATATTTGCAGAATCCTGCTCCCATGAGCCCTCCATGGGTCTCATCTTCAGATTAAAACACTAATTAAACAAAACTACCAAAATACTTTGTTAATATAAATTTATTTTAACTTTTTTTTGTTTAACAAAAAACAACACTTATATAAATAGAAAATGAGCTTGTGTTATTTGCATATTCTGTTTCAATAAAGATTACTTCACAGGTGTATTTGTTATTAATTTTCAATTGAATAAATGAATTAATGAATAAAAAATTACCTTCCATGATGACGTAGGTTTAAGAATAAATTTCACCTACGAACCTGGTTTGGTTGTCTGTAAAGGAGTCCATGAACGATATAATGTGTTGTATAAAAAGTTGTTCTGAATTTTGGTTCAAATTATCAAACAAATGTTTGAAATGAAAAAAGTTCTTATTTAATCACTTAACATCTTTATATATATAAAACAAATCAACAGTGTTTTGTAAAATTATTACTAATTTTACAAAAAAAATATGGCCAACTCATAAAATATTGAGTTCTTTTCTTACAACTAATACTTATAAAAATAAATTATTAGAAACTTAAAAAAATCTGGTAACATTTATATCTAGACTCTTTTGTATTTGTCACGACCTCGGTAACTTAACTTCGGAACGTACCATATGATCAAAAAAATTGATTAATAGTTGGAATCAATATCCTTAGAGAGCAACGAATGTGACAAGTGCTTTTAAAAACTTGTGATTTCAAATTCAAAACGATATCGATAATTTTGCATATCGATTTATTTACACATCCCTATAATAAACCTTAGTTTTTTACTTGATGTCGTTTGAGGCTTAGATTAAGGTTTGAGGATTTTTTTTTGACGATATGGTAGTATTCTCCCTATTCAATGCCCTTAATAGATCCTTGTGCATCTCTTTCCTTCAAGCACCAGCCTTGTTTTTTCGTGTTTATAATGATATCACATAAATTATAAGTGACATAAAAAAACCTACTATAACGCGACATCTCGATATTTCTGTACATCGTCAGCTGAATTATTGCTCAAGGAATTCCTACTTGTCAACTTCTCCATTTGTTTTTTATATATTAAAAAGTCCGGCCCATCCAGAGGTCCATAATAAATAGGAACTCCGTAATTTTGAACCGGTTGTGCATAGAATCCACTTCTATTTCTTATAATATGACTGTTTTTATTTGCAGTATTCAGAGCGTCCACAGATTGACACCTTGACATTTTGGCAGGTAACGTGGAGTAATTTATTTCAGACATAGCATGTTGGTGTGAATTTTGGTTGTTGTTGAAGGTGGCCGTGTGATGATCAATTGATCCAGAGAGCCATTGCTGAGCGTAGGTCATGGATGCAGGCTGCTGTTGGTCCAACAGTCTCAAATCCATCAGAGACTGCGCTTTCTTCTCTCCTAGGGAAAATCAGTCAGATTAACAACGTTGTAATATTATTTTTAAAGTCTGATTTACACTAGAATATATGGGTGTCCCAGAAATAAGTGCAAATATTTTAAGGGGTGGTAGATCTCGATAAAAGAAACATATTTTCTCTTTATCGTTTTTCAAATATGTGAGTCTAAAATAACGGAGTTATTTTACCTTATTTAACCACCGTTATTTTATCAGAGTAAATTTTGAGAACCACTGGATCTTTTTTCTTGGATTTTTGTTTCTTGTAAATTTAATCTAATACCTACGTTGCCATATTATCAAGAAATTATGTTTTTTTAACTAAAAACTAAAAAAATTTCCAAAAAATTTTTCATAAAATTTCGAATTTTTAAATTTTTTTTTGCGAAAAAAACCTAATAGGCGTGTTTCTGCGGTTGAACTATACTACCAGTTAAAATACTTGCACTTATTTCTGGGACACCCTGTATATATTTTCATGTCTATTTTTCTATTAATGGGAGTATATTTTGAGATTTATACAGGATACAGGGTGTTTATGCAATAAGTATACAAATATTTTCAGGGCTGGTAGATCTCGGTAAAAGAAACATAAGTCCTAAATAACCGAGTTTTTTTGCTTTGAAAATTAAAAGAAAAATATTTTTTGCTCTAATTTTGAGCCATCCAAACCACTGTAAAGTACTTTCTTGTAAATTTCCATATTATTAAGAAATTATGCATTTTATTTTATAATTTTTAACTAAAAACTAAAACATTTCCAAAAAAATTCCAAATTTTCAATTTTTTTTTCGCGAAAAACATATAATCAAGTTTCTAGGGTCGAAATATACTACCAGTGGCGCAACTAGACACATACTTTTAGGGAGGCTCACGTTTTTGGAGGGGCTTAGGTCACTATAAGATAATATTGATTTGATGTTAAAACCAATTTTAAACGATCCGCACCAGTCGCAAAGGGGGCTAAGCCCCCTTTACCCCCGACCCCATATTCACGTCACTGTATACTACCCCTAAACTATTTGCACTTATTTAAGTTTTATATGCAGCCGGTATATATAGGGTGTTTCTTAATGACATGCTAATACTTAAGGTGATTCTTGGACCTATTCTAAGAGAAAAACTTCATATGAATGTAACCTCCTAAACCTCTTAATTTCTGAGATACAGGGTGGTAAATTTTTCTAAAAAAAAACTTTTTTTCATATAATAACTCTGATTTTATTACAGATATCTTTATGAAACTTTATACACGTCTTTTATGCATCAAAATACCTTTTTTGGTGTACAAAGAATTTTATTTATTTCAACTAGTGCTGTCCATACGGTTTTTACTTTACTTCTCTCAAAATAAAAATTATTTTCAAAATCTCCATTAATTTCTAAACATTTTGATCTCTGGATTTTTTCGTCCAACGCATAGTTTATACGCTAGTTTAGTCGACGCATAGTTTATACGCTGGCTTTAGTTTATTCAAATCACTGAAAGATGCGGTTTCTGCATAGGCTGGAAGGAAATTAAGAAATAAAACAATTTTTTTGTACATCAAAATGAGTATTTTGATGCATGAATGTCTGAAATTTTAAAAAAATACCCTGTAGCACAGAAACGAAGAGGGCTATGAAAATTTTATGTTTATATATCTTCCGTTTGACAAAAAAGTACTAACGGTCTGTGCAAATTGCAAATCGCATCCTCCCATCTGCACCAATAACGGAGATAACGTCTGATTTCAACCAAAAAGGGACACCCTGTACATCAGATTTTTTTTAATAGCGCCAGAGATGCAACGTTGGCATATTGTTAATTTTTAAGTAGAACTAAAGAAAAAATAGTAATTTACCTATGAAATCGACAGTATCGATGCTAGGAACGAAGACACTGGCATTGAATTCGCTGGTTGTTGAAAATTGGTAACCGTCGTATGGGATTTGAAGGGACATCATAGGTATATTGTTCGGGTAAGGACCATTCCACAAATGAGGCATAGAACCATATCTAAAAAATATCAAATTTTTTTTTTTTTGATTTCAAAGATCGTAAAGAATTATTTCATTTATTAATATTAAATATTAACAGTTTCTCATTACAGTTAGAGACACAATAAAAAATATACAAATATCGGACGTAATAATATGCTTCTGTGAATATTAATAAATCAATATAGGATTGAATTAAAAAACGCAATAATAAAAATGCAAATACAGTTAAATATAATTTGTATTTAAAAAACGTTCGAATCGCGTTTAAATGGAAGTGTGTTAGAGGAAGCGACGGCTGCAGAATTAGGAAGAATGTTCAAGTTGTAGGATTTCTTTTGTACCAAAGAATTTAATTGTACGTAATTGAAATAATGGCTTTCTTATGTTAAACTTGTCTTAAATACCTTGAGTGCATTTAGTATTGTTACGTTACAAGTACCGTATAATCGAAAAAAAATCGACGTTAAGTTATTTTAGAGAAATGACTGATAACATTTTATACATAAATGTATTCAGGATGTCTTTTAAATAAATGCAATTATTTTAACTGGTTGTAGATATATTTCAACTCAGAAACATGCCCAGGACTATTTCTTGCAAAAAAATTGTTAAAAATTTTACATTATCTTTTGGTATCTTCCTGGAAAACAAACTTTTTAGTGTCGCTGGTTCATTCTCTTAAAATTTTCTGACGGTTGCAATATTGATACCTTAGATTGATACCACGTCCTACTTTACTCACGTTCTGCATTATCATCGTGATCATCACTTTCAGCTCATTCAACCATTTCCAATTATGGTGTAGCCTATCCCTCACATATTTAAATATTCCCTTTGTAGTTGGGCCCATTGTTGTTTATTGTTGGCTATGTGGGCCCAAGTTGTCTCTACTAATTTCCTAATATCATGGGCCTATCTCAGGTTCGGTCTTCTACTAGGTCTCTTAATTCCTGTAATTTTTGTGGTCCATATGTTGTCCGTCCTTCTTGCCAGGTGTCCTGTCCAGTGCCCATTGCCATTTGAGGGATTTGACTGGGATCTTTTGTTGTATCCACTCTAGTCTATTACGGTCTCTCCTGGTTATTCCCAGCATATTTTGTTCCATTGAGTATTGTGCGACCTGTAGTTTCCGTATGATGTCCATTTTAAGTGTCCAGGTTTCGCATGTATAGGTCATGACTGGTAGTACACATTGCATTGGTCGAATGTTTTCTTCTTTAGATATAGTGGCATTTTAGATTTGCATATAATCGAGTTTCTTCCATAAATACACCATGCTAACTTAATTCTTCTGTTGATTTCTAATAGTAGAGATTTTTAAATTCATATTCGGATATTTTTAAATTCATATAGGACATATTCGGCGCCGGCGCCGGTCTGATTAACTGGAGTTTAAATTTCTCGCTGGGGATTCAGGTGGCAGCTCTGCTGTAAGAAATGCCAAGTTGCCACATTTATTTATTTATTTTCTGACATTGTCATTCGTTTTGACACTTGTTTGACTAGTTTCGTATTACGAGTTTTTGGTTTAAATAAATAGTGTTGTGATACTTTAAGCTTAAAAATGTTTACTAGCACACCTTGCACTCGAATATTGTTTTTTAGAACCTGTTTTAGTGCGAATTGTACAAGATAGCTTAATAGCCGTAGCAAAAACTCGTCGCAACCTTATAAGAATATTTTGAACGGGAAAGCGGTGGTAATTACCTTTTATATCCCTTAAGTGCTGTTAAGAAGGTGAGTTTTGTTACTGTAAATAATAACTGTTTATATATTTATAATTAGTTTATTTTGGTTTGTTAAAATATTTTGATTAAAAGAAAATATGTAAAAGTGGGCAACGCTGTGCCGGTCAAGCTTAATCACGTGACTAAAAGTTTATTTGATATGAAATATAGGTAAACATCTGGGTTATTTTCAATTTATTTTAAAAGTGGTAAATATCACATACTAAAAAAATAATACAGGATCGCTTTTATGTATGGAAACGGTCGATTATTAGGTAAAATATAGGAGGTACCGCAAAAAGTTAAATATGAAAGTTATAGGGTTTATAAATATCTATTAGCGGGTAATAAATTTAAGTATACAGGGTCGATCATAAAGTCGTGGCACATCAAAGTTTCATTTATTTAAATGAAACCCCCTGTAGGTATATTATTGCATATTTCGGTTCTTCCTTCAATTCTAAGCAAAAATAGAAATACACACAATGTACCTCATACCAACCGTTTCCGAGTTATTGCCTTTTGAAAATATCACTTAAACAATTTGATTTAATTAATTTTGATGTGTTCAGTTTCATTTAACGAAGCCATTTTGCTGAAACTGTGATACTTAATAATATTTGAGATTAGTTCTCAAGTTAGCATGTATAGTGTATAGATGTATAAAATGAGAGTATATATACATCATATAGCAAGTCTGGAAATTACAAAATTTTCGTTTAACATTTCAATTCTTCAATTTATGTACATTGTGTATTACGATTATTGTTTAAAATTGAAGGAAGAATTGAAATATGCAATAATATACAGGGGGTTTCATTTACAAAAATAAAGTTTGATGCAACACAACTTCATGACCGACCCTCTATACTTAAATTTACTAGTAGCTAATAGGAATTTAAAAACTCATTACCACAGTATCACAGTTTTGACAGGATGGCATCATTAAATCAAGCCAAACATATCGAAATTAATTAAATCGAATTGTTTAAGTGATCTTTTCAAAAGTCAATAACTCGGAAACGGTTGCTTTGAGGTACATTGTATGTATTTCGAATTTAGCTTAGAATTGAAATATGTAATAATATACAGGGGTAAGTCGAGAACTATTTAAAAAAATAAAACTTTGATATGCCACGACTTTATGAACGACTCTGTATACTTAAATTTATTACTCACTAACAAATATTTGAAAATCCTATAACTTTTGTATTTAACTTTTTGCGGTACCTCCTATATTTTACCGAATAATCGACCGTTTCGATACATAAAAGCGAACCTGTATAAGCCAGTCTGTGTAAATATGTTTTTTTTGGCTAGATCTACCACACGCTAAAATACTTGAACTTATTATATAATTAAGAAACACCCTGTATAGTAAATGTGAACAATCGTCATTTCTAACGTAACTTGACGCAGGTTTTTTCGACTATGGCATAGAGGTGTGTAGTTCGTGAAGTTCCAATGAACTATTCCGACCCCGGAATGAAAGGAACTAGTTCCTAGTTTCTCAAAGGACTAGTTCCTCAGGACCTATTCCGGGATCGAGACTGTGTCCGATATAGAATAATATGCGACGGATCGGCTAGCGCGCGTAGCCCGATGGTAGGCAGGAGTGGGGAGTGCCAGACGTACGTTATCGGATCCGGACCTAGAGGAACTAAACACTAAACTAAATAAAAGACTAGTTTACGTACGAACGGATCGGGCCAGCGCGATCAATGCTAGGCAGGAGTGGGGAGTGCCAGCCTTATGCCGTATGTTATCGGATCCGGACCTAAAGGAACTAGAGGAACTAAATAAAAGACTAGTTTACGTATGGATCAGCCAGCGCGATTGATGCTAGGCAGGCGTGGAGAGTGCCTGCCGTATGTTATCGGATCCGGACCTAGAGGAACTATTAAAAGACTAGTTCACGGGAATCTATTCAGTCGGTAGATCCGAGATATAATACAAGGCGACGACGATGGATTCGGCCTTGTCTATTGCCGCAGCGGGCGCGGCGTAATTACCACAGAAAATTGTCGTGGATACTGTTTTTGATTTTTAGTTTGTTTTTAAATATTTTATGGGAATGTTTCACTTTAGGTCCCTAAAATTAAGAAATATCTTATAAAACGAAGTAGATATTCTGAATTTTTAGACAAAAACAAAAAGCTTGAAGTTAGGAAAAATGCAATTTTTCGTAAAATTTTTGTAATATTTGCTCCAATTGATCTGTGATATAGTTTTTAAATTCTGATTAGCGTTTTTTTTTAATTTTTTATCTGCTATAAAACTTACCTATATGTTTTTAACATACACAATTACACGTCTCGTTATATCTCCGTACATTATAAAAATTATACTGATCATACTGTGAATAGTTCTGACTGACAACGAAACGCATTAGCAAGCAAGGGGGATGTCAATGTTAGTCGGGAACTATTGTGAACTAAAGACCTAGTTCAAGGAACTATTCCTCTGGAGGAACTAGAACTAAGGAACTAGTTCCTCCCAAGGAACTAGAATTCCCACCTCTACTATGGCATGCTATATGTTACCTTTTCATACTGTCAGTCATATTGAGCTGATCAAGGGAACCATCGTATCCATTATTCTGATAATATTGACTGTTGATTGAGGGAGGTACATCACCAATTACAGAACCGGTTGATGTCATATCTCTCAACCTTTTGGTGACTATGTCCTCCTCCTTCCATAGCGTGTACAACGACTGGATCAGGATAATCTGAACGACATTAATCACTATCCTGATCAGCCAACATGATAATTCCGTCATGCCGTATATGTGACCTGTGCCCTACAAAAAAAAGATGACAATATAAATAATTTTTCCTTCTATCTGCCTCTTATAGCCTTAGTCATATTTACAGAATCTTGCACCCATATGGGCCCTAAATGGGTCTCATTCAGTCATCCAGTGGCACACGTAAAGTACCTACTAGATTTAAATTAAATTTGCACTGAAAGCTATTAGACGGAGAGCTGGCTACATAAAAAATCTTATCGTCGTTATATGGCTAATTTTTCTTGTGAAGGATCTTTTTGTGTAGCCATTGTGAAATAGTCATGTCTGCCAGCGCGATCCCGGGGCTTAAAACGGGGGCGGCCAATCGAAAGGGTGAAATTTTGACACTAAAAATATTATAAGGTACACGAGTTATAATTGCCAAATAGCTTTTATTTATTATTAAGAAACGTGTAAAATTATTGGCAGACATTTTTCTCGTGGCTAAAATGCCGCCAGGCAACGCGAAAGAGGCATGGAATTTTGACAAAAAAAAATCATCGCATATACATGCATGTCGATTGATGGAATGTCATGTTTATTGTTTATTTATTTAAAAAGCCGTATGCAAAAGGGCAGACAAAAAAACCGTGGTTCAATCAGCGGTAGACAGTTATCAAAAGCGCGATATTACTCTACAGGGTGAATCTTGAAAAAGACCAAATATTTTCACAGCTGGTAGATCTCAATAAAAGAAACATATTTTCTTTTTACCGTTTTCCAAAGAAGTCCAAACCAAACCGAGTTATTCAAGTTTGAAAATTTAAAAAGAAATTGATTTATTTTTAGCCACCTGTTTTTTTCTGTATTTGCATCCATTCTTTTAGTGTGTAGCCATAGACTAAAGCATGATAGGTTTAGAAATAGTTATACCGTGGGTAAATTTGCGGTAAACAGGCAGTTCTAAAAAGTTTTCTAAAATATACAGGAAAATTTAAACAAAAATGCATGATTTTCTACATCTTTTTTTGCGAAAAAAACTCATAGACGTATTCTTGGGGTCGAAATATATCACCCTTAAAAGTATTTACACTTATTTAAGACTCACACTGTATAAGTGTTTTCAGGAAACGCTCGCCGCGTTATTAACTGACACATAATACATGTAATTCTACAAAAATTTTACGGTGCAGATATCGACTATCGACTCAGAGGAAGAATCGTCTGCGAGAGCGAGGATCTGCAGTACGATGAGTCAGATACAAATAGTGAGACAGAATAGTAAATATATGATATCTGTTATTGAAATAATAAAAAAATATATTTATAATATAATCGTATACATGATTTATCTACACTTAAATGGATGAGACGGCGAGCGTTCCCTGAAAGTGCTAGAGTAATATCGCGCTTTTGATAACTGTCTGCAGCTAATTTAGCCACGATCTTTTTGTCTGTCTTTTTGCATACGGCTTTTACAATAAATAAATATGATATTCCACCAATCGGCATGCATGTATGCCATAATTTTTTTCATTCTTCAAATTTCATTTTTTAATAATTTTTAAAATTTCATGCCTCTTTCACGTTGTCTGTCGCATTTTAGTGACTAGAAAAATGTCTGCCAACAATTTTCAACCAACATTTCAAAATTTCACCCTTTCGATTGGTCGCAGGGTGAGTCTGAAATAAGTGCAAATATCTTTAGGGCTGGTAGATCTGGATAAAAGAAACATATTTTCTCTTTACCGTTTTCAAGTAAGTCCAAAATAACCGAGTTATTTTACTTTGAAAATAAAAAAAATATATATTTTTTTGCTATAATTTAATTTACTATATACCTATATATGTTGATATACCGGGTGCGTCTGAAAAGTGGCTCACCCCTATAACTTTTTTAATTTATCACATAAAGAAACGAGATTTGGTATGTTAGTATATGACATAAATTATGATTGATTAACGTATTCAATTGTTTTCGGTCACTTCCTGTTTCACCGGAAATTACTACAACTTTTGGTTTTTTAATGGCACCTTTGGTATTTTTAGTTTATTCGATAGAAAATGACACTCTGAATAGAATGACATATCATATGTCAATTTTTGACATTCTCGCTTAAAAGAAACTGTATTTTAAATTTCAATCTACCATGGCTGTGTTAAAAAGACTAGTTTTTATCAAGGAGCCTTAGAAAAATAGATTTGATCGTCTATAATGTTTTAGTGTCTTGTTCTGGCCGGTTAAAATATTTCCAAATCGTATTTTTAATCATATCTCAATTTTCTCAAATGGAACGAGTGTGGCTCAATAGCATGTTTGGAAAAAGCATTTTTTTACGAATAATTTGGTACCACACACTTGATATTTCGAGTCAAATTGTTGTTATGAACCGCATGTTACAATTTCAAATAAACCATATAGGAAAATGCCAAAAGTTGACATATGATATGTCCTTCTATTGTGTGAGTGTCTATCGAATAAAGTAAAAAAATATCGAGGATGCCAATTAAAAATCAAAAGTTGTAATCATTTCTAGTAAAACAGGAAGTGACCGAAAAAAATTGAATACGTCAATCAATCCTAATTTACGTCATATACTAACATAACAAATATGATTTTTTTTTTCTGAAAAAATAAAAAAGTTGTAGGTGTGAGCCACTTTTGAGACGCACCCGGTATTATCAACAAATCATGTTTTTTGACTTAAATATTTCCAAAAAAAAATTTAAAAATATTCCTAATTTTCTAAAAAAAATCGCGATAAAGAACTTATAGACGTGTTTCTGGGATATCGAAATATACTAACCCTAAAAATATTTACTTTTATTTCAGACTCACCTTGTATAGAAAATAAAAATTATTTAAATTTATAAACAAACAAATAATACGCAAAATATAAGCAGGAAGTAGCAAGGTTGCAAGGCTTCGGTACATCATTATGAAATTTAAGAAGTATTAAACCCTATGATTAAACCAGCTGAATCTGCGACGCAGAAGTTTCTTAAAATTCTCCGGATATTGCAAAATTTTCGACAATTTTTTTGCAAAAAAAAAACTTATGGGTATGTTTCTAGAGACAAAATACTACCAGTTAAAATACTTGTACTTATTTAAGTTTAAGAGACACCCTATATAGCTTTATATTACACCCTATAGATTATTTTTATATCTAAGTAATTTTTATTTTACCCTAGTAAGTATACGTAGGCTTGTAGGCTCGTTATTATTTCGATTCTATTTTTATTCTATCGTAAATATTTTAAAATTTGTAAATAAGAAAATGATCAACATCTGGTGGGTTTGATAAAATCGAAAATTTTATACTTTCATTTGATTAAAAAGTGAAATTCTGTTTACAAATTATTTATGACTCTTTTATTTGATGCTCTCGCTTTTATTATTTAATCTAGATTTTAAAGACTTAATCGACATTTATAAAGGATATACAGTATGTCCCCTGATCGTTTTTAAAAGAGGAAAAACTTTTATATTATTAATTCTTGGAGTTAATACGAGTAATCAAAATATTATCTCTTGGAGATAATAATAAACTCTCTCAGTTTTAATCATCTCTGTTGACAGGCCCGTTCCTGGGGTATCTGGCGCCTATGTGCAGCATTCTTTGGTGGGCCCTTTTTATATTTAAATCAATTATATATTTTAATCTTAATCTCAAAAATTTAAAGAATTTATATTCTGCGACAAACGAGCAATATGTAATTGGAAATGTAAAAAAACTATTCTAATTAAAGTATAAAAACATTTATTAAATACAGAAAACAAACAAAACCACAAAAATATTTAGTAACAAAAATAGTACTCTAAAGAAAAAAATTGACCCATTTTATATGAAATACATAAAAACAATAGGTAAACTAAAAATCGGAAATAATATACATGTACTGATTTCTTTCGAAAATCGACAACTATGAAACTATGAACCCTTCCCGGACACAAACGGTACATTGTGAGACAGGAAATTGTAGAGCGAAACAAGCCCTATAACATAGGATAGAACATTTTAATGAACAGTGTTTTCCATAAAATCAATAAAATGAAAAATATTGTCAAGAGCAAGAATTTTAGATTTATCATTGAAATAAATCACCCAATATATTAAATGGAATATATTTTTATAAACATAATATTTGCACAATAAAAATTAAACTAGAACAAGTTGACGTCAGACTAAGATCTGAAGGTGAACTTTGTTTGATTCTGATTGTTGTAAATATGAATATGTAGAATAATAAAAAAGAAAATGGGAGGAGAGTCGGGGGCTCTCTCGGGGAGAATGAATTAAGAAGTCATGCGGTTCAGTTGAGCGGAGTTCTCCAAGTATTATAATGACAGTAAAGTAAGTTTATAATTTTTTATATATTTTCTCTTAGTATATTTTATTGGTCAAAAGGTATTCTACTTGACATTTCTCCTACCTAAATTAATGTATTTAATTCTTTAATAAATTTATATTTTGTTTTTATATATATTGATTGTTTTAATGATCTTCGATACCTAAAACGTCCCTAGCCGCAACCCTCTAAAACGGGGTCGCGACAATATACGAAATAATATACATGCACTGATTTCTGTCGAAAATCGACAACTATGAAACAAGTATGAAACTATGATCCCTTCCCCGACACAAACGGTATATTGTGAGACAGGAAATTGTAGAGAGAAACAAGCCCTATAACATAGGATACAACATTTTAATGAACAGTGCTTTCCATAAAATCAATAAAATGAAAAATATACGAAATAATATACATGTACTGATTTCTTTCGAAAATCGACAACTATGAAACTATGATCCCTTCCCCGACACAAACGGTATATTGTGAGACAGGAAATTGTAGAGCGAAACAAGCCCTATAACATAGGATAGAACATTTTAATGAACATCAGTGCTTTCCATAAAATCAATAAAATGAAAAATATACGAAATAATATACATGCACTGATTTCTGTCGAAAATCGACAACTATGAAACTATCATCCCTTCCCCGACACAAACGGTATATTGTGAGACAGGAAATTGTAGAGAGAAACAAGCCCTATAACATAGGAT